AAAGAATTAGAGAGAGAGAGTTACGGGGATAGATGAGTAGAGGATTTACTTACTGGGCATTGTTTTAGTGCTCACCCCGTTATTTCCTATGTTTGCAGGATCCAAGTGAGGACGCAGTCGGATGGACGTCGACATGTGAGGGGAAGCGGTTACACTGTCCACCATGTTTTTGATATCTTTTGTACATATTATAATTTTGTTTAAAAATATATATGGTTGTAAAGAACATATACATATGTTTAATTAAAAGAAACATTTGGGCCCAATTCTTTACATTGTTTTATATGTATTTTATTATGTATATTATATGAGTACTTAAGTAGAAAGTGGCTGTCACAGCGGTTGAGACGGCATTAGTCCAAAAACGTTTGGGCATATTGGCACCAAGAAGCAGAGCACGGGCAGTCTCTAGAAGATGTCTATTCTTCCTCTCAGCTACACCATTTGGTTGGGGTGTTTGTGAGCATGAAGTTTCATGAATTAAACCATGTTGGGAAAAATAAGTTTGAAGATGCTTATTGACGTATTCACCACCATTATCAGAGCAGAGAACCTTCATGGTGGCACCGTACTGAGTACCCACCCTAGCATAAAATGTTTCAAAAGCATCGAAAACTTCATCTTTGTGTTTTAGTAAGTAGAGCCATGTCATACTGGTACAATCATCCCCAAAAATAACAAACAAACGAAAACCAAACATATTAGTAACGGTTGAGGGCCCCCATACATCAGAGTGAATTAACACAAATGGAGTGTCACTTTATTCATGCTCAATGGGTAAGTAGCGCGATGGCTCTTAGCCAAAATACAAGTATCACATTTCAAATCAGAAGTCTGTGAATGCTTAAACAAATCAGGTAAAACATGCTTCAAATAAGAAAAAGATGGGTGTCCCAAGCGTCGATGCCATAACCACAGTATTGTCTCTTTATTGGAAGGCAGATTGTTCATGTTATTGGCTTGGCTGATACTAATGTTGTCCACATAGTATAATCCCCCCTCTTAGTACCACGTCCAATTATCTCCTTGGTGAGAATATTCTGGATAAGACAAAATTTTGGATAAATAAGTATAACACATCCAAGGTCTCTAGTAAGGTGACTTATAGACAACAGTTTATGAGATAAAGACGGAACAAGTAAAGTATTAGATAAATGGAGGGATGGAGATAAATTCACAGAGGCAGCTCAGATAACACCATTTGCATTAGCTATGTTGGTGCGTCGCGGAAGAGAAGTTTGAGAGAAGTCTGAGTGTAATAGCCACTACTACTCAAATTCTCATAATAAAATACATATGAAAAAATATAAAGAAATTGGGCCCAAAATTTCCTTTTATTAAACATAGATATATATATTCTACAAACATACACATTTTTACATAAAATGTATAACATATACAAAAGTCATCAAAAACATAAGGGACAGTGTAACCGCTTCTTCTCGAACGCCGACATCCATCCGATAGTGTCCTCACCTAGGTCCTGCAAAACATAGGAAAATAACGGGGTGAGCACTAAAATAATGCTCAGTAAGTAAATCCTCTACTCATCTATCCCCGTAACTCTCTCTCTAATTCTTTCCTTACAACTTCTCATTCAATTTCTCTTTGGGTACTTCTCTCTCTCTTGCTCTTTCTCTTTCTCTTAGAACTCTTTTCTAATAACTCTTTCGTAAGTCACGGCCCCATCTTACCGGGGGCACGGCCGGGACTCACTCCCACTCTACGTGACCTCTACTCATTCTAGCCGATCAGACTCGGTTATGCATGGATTTGGAACCCTTGGCCATGTGAGTGTATAATCTCTCTCTCTCGGGTACTCGGGTATAGCCCTCATCCGCATGCATGCTCACGGGCTACACCACGTCTCTATCTGATACTCATGCCGCTCTCTCAATGCGGCGTACATGCGGGAATACTCTACCCATTACTCACGGGTTCCCCATCGCACAACCTACTATATTCTCTTTCTCTTAACTCTTAAAGTAGCTTATACTCACATTCTCTACTATATCTCAAGCTACTTCTTACTATACTCTAAGTGCATAAACAATTGTTAGAGCTAGCTCATGCTCACTAATGCACTAATGAAATGCCAAATACAAGATTTCTCAAAACCGTCATTCTGCACAGGTCTCACTAAAAAGACCATAATTTCGTTATACACCTCTGATTACTACGGTTTGGTCTCGTTTTAAAGCTTAGAAACAGGGCTATAACTTCTATGTTTGGGTCTCAGCCAGTTAAATCCTTAAAATGCCCAAAATCACTTAGAACATCACAGCTGGTGACAGGGAGATTACTTAGGCATTTCATCAAACAACTATGTGCATAAAAACACTCTACTAAAATTACTACTATACTCACTTCTCTAGTCATCCAAAATGGGGGAAAACTCCCTCTAACAACCATAATTCCCTGTCAAGAAAAGCACTTCCAAAAGGTTTACACCACATCTCTCAAACTCATCTCAAATTTCATTTCTCATACACATTAAAACACTTCTCATACATGGAATCATCCAACAACTACAAAATGGCTGCTCATCTCAACTAATTCTCATTGATCATACTACATACTGATCATGCATACATCTCTACTCAAAAGCTTATACAAAACTCAAGTTGGTAGGATTTACTTACCTTGTGCAAAGATGACTTCTTTAGCACTTTTCCTTTCCTTGTGGTCTTGTCTCTTCTCTAAACTCAAAACAACACAAGGACAGCAACAACCAAATAAGACTTCACTACAATTATAAGAAAACTCACATCTAAAGCATGAATCCTTACCTTAGGATGCTTTAGATGAAATCTCTACTCAAAAGCCCTCTTAAATCCCTTAGAAATCTTGGAGATTGGATGGAGAAATTGAGAGAAAGTGGGCAAATGGAAGAGGCGTGGAATGAAGAATAAAGGGTTCTCTACACTTAACCCTTTTTAGTTCATATTATAAGCATCATTTCCCATTTTGCCCTTGTCCTTCCTTAGAAATTCCATCTATATCCTTTGATTCTTACAATTAAACCCCAATCCAAAACACAATCTCTACTAAATTTCCTTTCATTTTACTCCCCACTTTTCCTACTAATTAGGGGTAGAATGGTCATTGTGCCCCAAAAGAAGAATTCTCTAGAAAACTCAAGAAACTTTGTCTTAGGCTCGTCGCCGCGGCGAAGAACTTTACGTCGCCCCGGCGAAACAGGGCAGAACCTACCCGTGGGTGCAGCTCCTCCTCCTCGCCGCAGCGAAGCTTCTTTTTCGCCCCGGCGAAGATTGGATTTTCCAAACTTCACCAAAACTCAACCAATTCAAGGCAACCATTCAATCAACTCAACATACCAACTAACCATGACAACAAACAAACTCAATTGAAGCTGAAACAGTAAACGTTTAACTAATATAGCAAATCTTCAATACGTACCTCAAGTGGGATATTACACTGAGGCAGCAAAAGTCATATGGTCTGTGGCCCCCAAGTCGAGAAGCCATGCACTACAATCCGCATCTCTATGAAAGGTAAAAAGAGCAAGACCAAAGATACCTAAGTTCAAGTTGGGAGGAGTATCTGTGGACATTGCAACCGATTGTATAAGAGAGAGATGAGGCTCTGCGCCAACAACAGCTGCTGTGCCTGAACTTCCACTAGTGCCAGTGCCATCTTGAGGATGCTTATGGGCTTGAAGATCATGCCACCAATCAAGGTACCCATGCAACTTAAAACAGTTTTCACGTGTGTGTTTTTGGTTGCCACAATGAGAGCATTTTTTTCCATCAGCGGAATTTCAGTTCTTGGCAGATTTACCATGGGCAGAGGTGCTTAAGGTGAGAGCTTTCGAAGCCAAGATAGCCCCCTGGAGCCCATCGGTGTCATGGGTAGTCATAACCTGTTGTCGAATAGACTCCCATCTAACATGCGCATATGCTTGTTCAACCGTAGGAAATGGTTTTATCTGTAAAACATCAGCACGTATATTGTCTAGCCGATCATCAAGACCATCCAAAAAAATATAAACACCGTCTTCTTGGATGATTCGGTTATAATGCTAAATATCAATAGAACATTCCATAGGATTCGGTCGGCGGAAATCAATTTCACGCCATAGACCCTGCAACTCCATATAATATTTTTCCAGCGAGCCAGCAGATTGTTTTAGTCTAGTCACACGGCGTCAAAGATCATACACTTGTGATGTATCACTACCATCGAAGAAGGTAATTGCAATGGAATCCCAAACCGCTTTTGCTGTAGGAAAGCGAATAAAATTGCCAATTAAAGTCGGATCCATGGAAGTAATTAACCAACCTTTAACAATAACATTATCAGTGCGCCACTTGCGAAAGGAAGGATCAGTTGATGGCAGCTAGGGAAAGTCGTCGTTAATGTACCCCAGTTTGTCCTTGCCAGAGATATACATCTCGACAACCTGGGACCACAGTGCATAGTTGGTACCTTCCAACTTAATGCCGATTGGAGCAATAGCTGTTTCAGTGGTGATGGTCGGGGTCCGAGCGTTATTCAAAACCTTAGTCATCCTTGTAGTCAATTCAAGGATAGAACCAAGAGGTTGGACGTGTCGCCAGAAGTATTCAAGTCATCAGAGTCTGCCATGGGAGGATGGTTAGGTTGCAATACAGGAAGCCAGATCTTGTTTGGCTCTGATACCATGTCAAAAATTTTGTCTTTCATATTATTCCTCATATGTTTTTCCGTAGGTTATATACATTTCAAAGAATAAAATCTAAACAAATCTTTGCTATACAAATCCGTCTCCTAGACTCACGCTAACCACCCTTATTTACGGGATGTTACATATTTCAAATGCCTAAAATTTCTCTTGATTGTTTACAATAACAGCTCACGCCAACAATTCAAGTGCATATATTTCAAACCCAGAATTCGAAACAAGGATTCAGGTATTTCACCATCTAGAGAATTGTTATACAAATTCAAGAACCACAAATTCTGCAACTACTGCTTCAAGTGATGAGGTATTTCTCCAGTCAAAACATTACAAGACCAGTCCAAGTACTCAACTCAAGTGCACTACAATCGCCTAGCTCTTGTCGTATGTTACCACATAAATTATTGTTACTCAAATCAATGGTCTGCAACTGTCTCAAGTGACCGATTTCAGGTGCAAGTTGACCAGAAATTCCATAGCCTGAGAGGTTAAAATAAACCACATTATATTTTCCTTCACATTCTATGCCAACCCCATCATATGGAGTGGAATCTGAACTATTCCAACTAGACCATATGGAAGATGGCACAGAGGTCCAATGCCTCAAGAGTGACAACAAAGCCACTCCGTCATCGTTCAAACCAAAGACTCCATTTAAAGACATAGCAAAAGTTAACTAGAAGCAACAAATGGCAAAAGAATTAATACTGATATCAAACTCCAAAATAAATCAGAAAGAATAAAGGGCTTCAAAATTTCCTGAGGTTGTTAACTTACAAGCACCTACCTGTTTGAAGTTGGAAAGGAAACTCAATATTTGGCGTATTCAAGGCCAAAAAGGTGAAAGCTCGAAAGAAGAGAGTATCAATTATGAAAGAGATACCACGATACAGCAGGTTTTGGTTGTTGTAATGCAATGTAGTAATGTTGTTTGAGTTCAAATAATAGATGATAGATGTGAAATGAATCCAAGACTTCAACGCGTTTTCAGCATCGTAAATGGTTTCAGATTTAGACTCGATTTTCAGAGATACCTTTTTGACGTGCTATAAACTTGAGGTCTTCTGTAAACATGGGATATCAACTCATGCTATGTCTTGCATTTTTATATGCGCATTTTAATTTTCTTTATAATATAGTACATGAATTCATATCTGGGTATTGTAAGAAAAGATACGTCACAGAGAATTCAGTCATACAAAATTCCAAATTCGTTTATGTTCTCAAAAGATTTTATATGAAATAAATAACTCTTTTTTTTCAAAAAAAAAAAAAAATTACGTCTCATAAATCCAATTTTACCAATAATATCAATCATTTCGTTAATTTCTTGGAATGCCAATTGGGCCAGACCATGAGAATTGTCAGCTTAGAAGTCAGAAGTCTGGTGAGTAGGAAAGAAACTATATATCGTTTGTGCCACAAATATAATTCACTTTCTCCATCTTTTATTGTTTAGAGTGTTGTTATTGGAGCCCATCAAAACTCTTTCTAAACCCTAAATTAAATAAATTATATTCCGAAAATATTCTTATCTTTTTCCTCTATTATTTACCTTAAACAATTAAGGTTATACAAATCTATGGAATCCTAAATAAAACTAGATATAATTATATATAAACGTTTAACTATTGTTTTAAAATCCAATCCGTTGTGAGACCTGACAAGGTGATTAGGTCACGGGTCGACCGGTCCAACCGATTAGACCGGCCGATTAGACCGATTATGTCAACAACAAAAGTATTTTTTAAAAATATAATTAGTCCTTTAAATTTTAGTATATTATAAAAATGCCCCTAAAAATTATAATTAGTCACTAAAATTTTAATTTCTTTTGAAAATACCCAAAAAAATTAGTCCCTAAATTTTTGAAATATTACAAAAAAAACCCTAAAATTACGAATTATCCCCTACAAATTTGAAATATACAGAAACCCCTTGGAACCTGAACCGGACCAGAGATGCTGCCGAGTTCTAGTCCGACCGGCCGGTCCAATCCGAGTTTTAAAACAGAGCGTTTAACCCAAAAAACAAAAACTTGTTAATTTATAAAAAATCGAAATAGTATGATTATTAAGACTCTTTTCAGTTTTTTATACAATAATTTTCAAAATACAAAAAACAATCAATCTATCTCATATCTTTTCTTTTTAATTAATTTTAAAAAACAAGTCAATTTTTTTTTTTTTTCAAAAAACTAGTGAATGTCTATGTTTATTTTTTGCGCAAAAAATAATTATACTGGCAACATAAAATACAATTTGATTAAGTAGCAACTCAAGTAATTAAGTAATTAATGATATTGTAGTGTCTTCTCCACCCATTATAAATTTTTATTTTGAATTTGGAACAGCATTTTGTTTATTTAGAATCTCTTAGAAGAACAAGAGAGGAGAAGAATAAAACCGCCTATGATTGTTGTTGTCGTAATGTTGTTGTTTAAATAAACAATAGAGTGTTTGTTATTTGAGTCCCAGTAAAATTCTTTCTAATCCTCATTTTAAATAGACTCTTAGGACAAGTGAGGAGAAGAATAACTTGGAATAAAATTTTATTTAATAAATTCTAATTAAGATGGGGATTAGAAAAGGTTTTAGTGGGGCTCAAATAACAACCTCTCTATTATTTTCTTAAACAATAGCATTACGATAGTAACAACAGCGATGGTTTTAAAATCCGGCCCGGCCTGACCGATTTAACCGATCGAACCGAGACTCAGGGTCTTTGTTGAGCTAGGTTATCACTTTCAACTATTCACCCTAAACCTTAGAATTATAGATGACGATTGGCGAGCATATAACAGCAATTATGTTGGGGCTTTTGGGGAGGGAGTTCCGATGAGTCCAAAGGTGGTGAAGGGGAGTTATTTCTAGTGAGTGAATCAACCAGAAAAGACAAAAATCGATCAACCAAAACAATGAGCTATTTGCCGACAATTGGTGGAATGAACAAGGGAAGGATGAGATGGGTTTTGGTCTGGATGCTAAGGGGAGTGTTTTTGTGGTGATGAGAAGTGTTTTCATCATTGAAAACATACCCTATTTGGCCTGGGTTGTCGACCTCTACAGTGGTGTTTGAGGTTTTTTAGTAGAATTTCAAACCTATAGGACTTACATAATTTTTAGGGGTGTTTTTGTTAGATTTCAAACCTTTGAACATGCTGATGTCACCAATTTAACCCGTTGGTCAAACCGGTTCAACCAGTCAACCCAAGACCCAACCACTTTGACGGGTCTCACTCTCACCGCAGGTCAGGTTTTAAAACCTTGACAGCCATAGGGGTTTTTAGTAAAAATTGTGACCAATGTTCTGAAACCCGAACCGGATCGGGGGGTCAAACCGGTCCGACCGGGTTTCTCTTATATTTCCGATTTGAAAAGAGTAAAAAACCGAAATTTTGCTTCAAACCGTTTCAAACCGCGATTGGACCGTCGCACGGTAGCAAACCAAGAGTCCACCTGGTATAACAAAGAATTTCGGTCCACACCAATCCGGTTTAATCATGTGAAATAAAATTAAAAAGTAAAAAGTAATAAAAACCACAGTCCGCAAACACAAAGTCAAAATGTCAAATCCCCAAAAATTTTAATACATTTTCAATTTGCTTTTGCGTTGAGCTGTGAGTTACTGAGATGTCTGCCACTTGAAAATTTTCCTTTTTGCCTTTTTCATTTTGGTTTGCTACTTTGCCATTCGCAATCTCCACTCTCCAGTCCAGTCCTCCTCCTCCTGTCCTCCATTCGCAATCTCGGATCTCCTTCAAGCTTCAGCTTCAGTGGTTCAACCTTCAAGTCTTCACTCTTCAAGTCTTCGGTCTGCTACTCTGCTTCAGTGTTTCTTCCTTGTCGTGGATGGTCTGCTGCAAGTCTTCATTCTTCAACTTCAAGTCTTCAACGGTTAAACCTCTTCAATCATCACCGTCACCATCTAAAAGTCTGCTTCTTGCTTGTCGTTGCTGGTATGCCGGATTAGTCACTTCAGTTCAGATTTTAGCCTTCACATCTACCGTCGTCTGTCGTTTGCCGTTTATGATGTGTAGAATATGTAGATTTTATTATCTTCTTGTTGTCTGTCCAGGTGGCCTGCTTGTTTTATAATGCTGGTAATTTTGCTTAGACTTTTTGGAGATTTGGTTCTGTTTTTTTGTTTGTTCATGTGGCCAACCTACATGTTTTACAATTTACACTTGTAGATTGTGTAAATTTGCCCCTTGTTTTTTGTTTTGAATTGATTCATTGAATTGATTCATGATACTGTATTATTAACTTATTGTGATATGAAATTGTGAAATGTGAATACTGAATCTGTCAATTTCTCATGGAAAAATAGAAATTGATGATGAAACTGTGATAGTTTTAATTTTTATTATTACTGCAGGGTTGGTTTGATGGTTTTTAAATTTTAGTTAGATGAAAAACCTGGATTTCTTTTCCCTTTTTTCGTTTTTGCTGATGTCAATATGTTAATGTCACCGATCTAACCGACCAATCCGACCGATCCAACCGTTCGACCCGCAAACCGGGCATTTGACCAAGTCGACTCCCGGTCTGATTTTCAGAACATTGATTGTGACTATAAAAATATTCTTAAGAAAACTAATTATTGTCATTAATGACTTAAAATTCATTTTATAAATACTTCCATGAGATCTGTCATTAAATCTGCCACAGTTTTCTCGTAAGAAGTCTAATGGCTTTTATACTTTTACAGCATTTTGACTGATTCTCTTCAACAGCCAGCCATTTTTAAACGCCAAGGAAATGCTTAAACTGTTTGGAGATCAAAATTTTGACTATGATATAGCCCTTATAGCAGAAAATGAGCTTGGTTCTTTTATACTTTTTAGTTTTAATTTGACAAGCCAAATATCCATAAAGCCGATTAGCAAATAAGAGTTCAAAACCGGAGCATTTGTTGAATCCTACAAATACAATATTACAATATCGAGAAAGTAGAAAAGCTCTGGTTTTGAATCACCTGGTCATTTAGACAACCTAGTCATTAAGAAACCAAGCATACATCAAAACTATGAGACTATTAGAACTATCAGACAAATAACCTATTAGAACTATAAGATTTATGATAAACGTGCTCTTGTTCTCATTCTCTCACTCGTCTTCATACATGTACAAGAGACAAAAGACGATATTACATAACCACATTATCACTTTTTTTCTATTTGTCCCTTATACACGTGCCAAGAGACGGCCAAAATATGAAAAAGAGAATATTGCTGGCCTTCAGACAAAGATGTAGTTTTCCTAGGACACCCTAATATATCTCTCCCTCCTCCAGATTAAGAATTCAAATACCTTAAAAAGAAGGACACAACAAAACCAAACATGAGATAAAACAATATAATACTTCTTCAGTTGAACACCTAAAGAAACATGGTCCTCAAAAAGAAGGAGACAGAGAGAGCATGCCAAGGATTGAGTAAGGCCAAGTAGTATGAGATACTTTAATCAATATAAAACCACAATTAAACTGTCCATTTCTATCTTTCATTTATTCTCGCCCTATAACACTTTTCTGTTGCAGATTTATCAAACATGCATCAAGGACCGCAAACAAGAACCCAAGACTTCCTCCAAAATCAGAGCATGCAGACCCCATTTGACTATAAGATCACAGTTAGAAACGAGCAGAAAAAGCTTCCTCGTTGATGACTAGTCTCCAGCTCAACATTTTGCATCTCAAACCAGCATCCAGTGAAACTTAACATGTTTAGTCCTAGGAGCAGTCAATTAACATCCAGATAGGGATGCTTGACCGGCTTTCTTGACAGGTATAAAGCACAATTACCTGTAACAAAAAGCAGCTGCAGTACCTGATCTCCTCAAACAAATGGAAGCTTGGTCATTTAATACAATCCTGCATATAAGATCACAGCATAATACATTTTCTGACATTTCTCAGAGTATTATGCTTTGAAGAGTCTGAATGTTAAAGCACCAATATCAGTTCTTTGCTTAACTGATTGATTTAATTCCCTAAATACCCCTATTGTGAAAGTGGAGATGGATGGCAATGGCAATGGCAATTGCAAGTAATTTTCATTAATAAAATGATCGATGGCGTGATTTCCTAGCTCTCTTGTACCATAATAAACTCGTGCCATGAAATGAAACTTAGGATCACTCTCAGATGTAATGTTAGGTAATGTAATGTAATTAAACCTTGCACAAAACTCACATCAACTTCCGATGTCATGTTGAGCAATGTAGTGTAGTTGAACCTAATGATATAGAAAAATAAGCAGTAGAGGAAGGCATTCACTTAAACTAGAATCTTAATCTTGATGTGCCACATGGTCAATGGAGTGGTAAAGCACGTGAAAACTAAAAATACGGCAACACATGCACCAGTTCTACAAATTTAACAACATCCAAGCCCCTATTAATATATCCACAAATTAACACATGCTGCTGATAAATGCATGTCATAGATAATTAGCATAACACGACAATGGTATGGTCATGACACCACTATGTGCATTCTTTCACATGAGAAAAGATGCTAATGCTGATGTTGACAATGAAATGGATGCATGCAACAGCTGCAAGATGCATCCTATCATGTAGTTGAATTTTCCCGAGCATAAAGAACAGAGTACATTCCCTTCGAGCTACTGATAGGTCAGAGCTGGTGGAGCTCCATTTGCTGCTGGAGAACCAATAGCGTGGCCACCATCCTTCCTTTTTCCAAATGGATTCTTCGAATATGTACTCTAAAGTCAAGGGAAACAAATAGTGGTGCACCATATACCCAACATTTAGACGATTAAAGAAAAGAAAGAAAAAGCACATCAGAAGAGCTAAAAGGATATTGTATCCGCATGCCAACAGAACCTGAACTGGGGATAACAGCACCCTGCAAATTATGATGCACATTGGTTGCACTGTTCACATCCTGCAGGTTGTCGACCAAAACTTTAGGCATAATTGATCAATGAAACCTTGATATGTGAATTTGAATAATATTTATAGAAATAACTAGATCAAACCAAATGTGAAAAGGAATCAATAAAACCTACTTCAAACTCAATAAAGCAAACAGTATGTCTTTCTTGTCTCAAGACCTTCATTTGCTTAAAACCAGGTTGCCTGAACCAAAAGTTAGAAAATGAAACATAAGATTCTTGTCACCAATGCAACCCATGATATCAAACAAAGAAATAATAAAGCTCAGATAATAGCCAGGGCAAAGGCATCCTTACGCGCTGAATAGCCCCCTCAGCTCTTCCTCATTTATATTCTCTCCAAGGTTACCAATAAACAAGGTATTGCACGGAGGATTATCTTTTGTATTCTGTAAGAAATTGTCATATAACTTTAAAACAAAAACTACTGAGTGAACAACATATATAAACTAACTCATCACAAATACACATACACACAAAGGAAACAGGTTTAAACTCCTCAGAAACTTGATGAAAATCACAATACAATATGAACACCACAAGTTACCAAAAGTGGCATTAAACACCATAAGATAAAACTGTGTCAATACAACTAAATATTTCATTACACCATCTAGACACAGGTGGCAACATCATAGTTAAGAGATCTAAGGATAAAAAAACAGTTAATAATGGCAATTACTTTTCTTCTTTCTTTATGTTCTAAGAAATGAAAAATCCACATAATGTACATCTTTTTAATTAATAGCATCAGTAGCATCCATCTTAAAAGATTATGATTAATTGGCCTAAGACCTTAGATGTTGATTTTATTATAGAACACATATTACACAGATGGCAGCAATTCAACTCAATTTAAAAAGGTTGATGTTTGTGGCTACATACAAAAAATGTGGTTCCCGCCAGAAAGAAAGAATATAAAAAATTAAATCTTTACACTTGTGCTCGGGCCTCTAGAACATTATTACATCAAGTAGAATTAAAATTAACAGAACAGAACTATTATTTCTGTTCAAATAGGTACATACGACCACTAACCCAAAGACCCAAAATTCCTCTACAACCCAACCCCCGCCCCCCATCCCACCCACCTCCCCTTTCTCCTCTTTCTTTGAAATACCTAATGGCAGGTTTTAGTTATTTATTTGATGAGTAAGATTTGAGAAAAAGTTTGGTTGGAGGAATTTGTCAAGGGATAAAGAAGAATCCCAAGCTTTTTTCCCATTTGATACAATCAAGACTCAAACTTCCCAAAACCCTGTCAAAAAATAATGTAGTATCTTGCTCTATGGTGAGTGATTCGTACTAAGATATGGAACAAATGCAACATGATTTTACATGTCATTTTGTCCAAGTCAGTTTATGAGAATTTAACATGTTCAATGCCCTTATTTTACATGGATAATGACTTCAAACATATGGTTAGTAATTTATTGTCTATAATTGAGTAACAAGTTCTGTAAGTGAGATAGACAATAGGATACTGAAAGATTGCCTAAGTGCCTAACATAATCAAGTAGCAGGCTACCAAAAAGGCCTTACAACAAGTAACAGTACCAGATTACATCAAAATCTTGAGCAGATGTAATTCCTTCGTGACAAGCTCTTAGTGATCACAAGAGTGTCTGCAGGAATACAAGTCACATGCCCATGGCAAAATAGGATTTTTGAAATGAGCAGACCTAGGGAAAAGTGTCAACGATAGGACATAAAAGCAGGATTTCTTAAAAATGAAAAAGAGAGAGACACAAAAAGACAGATTAAAGAACACGGTTAAAGTTTTTTCTAGGTACTTTGAAATCAAAGGTAGCCCAAAAGAAGGAAAAAAAAGCATTACTAACATTCTGTTAAAGCTTTGTTTCAGAGTGTGGCTGAAGATGATTTGAAACAAAATGAAAAGTAAAATACATCAGGATTAAACAATGACCTTCTAAATCCTAAATAAATTTAATGCTAAGAAAACTGCTGTGCTACATTGTAGACTGTAATAGATATATTTCTAACAAACAGCATTGCAGCCATAACACTAAAAGCAAAACAAATATCAGTAAGCATGTCATAGCTCTCAAAAGAACTAATCAGTTAGTATGAAAAAACTTTGTTCTGAACGATGCTGGATAAAATCACATTTCAAAGCATAATTGAGTACCAGACATCAAGAAGAAAGCAAAGAAGAGAAAGTAACTAATGCAAGAACACAAACTAGTTCTAGATTGGTATATTGAAGAAACAGCAGGGAACTTCCACAAACCCAGACACAAGCAACAGATATGGCATTTGATCATCACCTGAACAGGCACATAACTGCTAGGAGCTGGTACAGGAGCAGGTGTAGGCATTGATACTGGAGGAACTGGATAACCTCCATATGGGTCATATGGAGGTGGAGCAGGAGCCATATACCTAGACCAAAAACAGATGTATGAATCAGAGGAAATGCAATTTTTTAACAAATAAATACTGTGCATTTATCCCAATGACTTGCTGGTATCTAAATTAATTTCCCTATTCTAGGTGAGTGAGATGTAACAATAGAAGAAAATTTTCATGTTTGGAGGAAATAGTTTCTTACCCATGTGGACCCCAAACAGGAGCAGGAGGAGGGTGAAATGGAGATGGAGCTGTATAACCAGTATGTGAATAGTCACCACCAGTCCGCAAACGTTTGCTTTGATCGTACGCACTAGAATCCGCAACTATTCCTAAAAAGGGAAAAAACCATTAGCATATTGCAATAGCTTAACAAGATACTACTTGATTAAAAAACCACAGACACTTAAAAGCATGATATAAGAAAAGTGGAAGAGAAAGAAAAGAGTTCAAAATTCAAATCCAGCCATGAAACTGATTCAGTTTTTTATCAAATTTGATGAGTACAAATTATATCAGACCCAAAACTATAAGGGGAAAAACAAAAAAAGAATCCTGATCCATCTAGTTTAATTGGTGAAGTTCATTGTAAAAATTGCCAAAACTGCACAGATCATTTAAAAATGCATATTGTTTTTATTCAGAGTAGAAGATTTGCTTCCCTTCATACATGTATTAGAAAAAAAAATAATTCATTTGGATTGGATTTAGTCCTTTGAATTTTATATTGGATTGGATTATTTTGAATTCAACTAGTCATTGACTTGGTTTGGTTATTGACAAAACCAATTGCATCCAAATGAAGAACACATCGAGAGATGGCCTAGCCATGTCCCTAAAGAGACCTTGGTGAGCCTTTGGTATAGTCCTTTTATTCCCAAACTTATAAAACAAGGAATTTGCTTCACAATTCAGAAAAGAGATTGGTTCTGATCAATGGCAGCACTAGATCTGAATTCAAATACAAATCAAGAAGCATTATTCTCTGAAACACTTCCACAAGTAAACCATTCTTATGAAAACTGGAAGATAAAGTCAATGAGTTTCTCTATTACATTTCCACAAGGTAGTCACTCTCCAGAAGACAATTGAGAATATAAGTTTTAAGAAAGATAGCAAAAACAACACTCATACTACATTTAATAATTTCTTTCCCATACCATCTGGCTTTACACACACCATTAACTGTTCTTAACTTCAAAAGGCTTCAATGAAAATTGATATCCAACAGAAATTATTGATTTTCTTACAGAAAAATGAAAATACTTTTTTATGCTCCTAAACATGATCAAACAGCAAAATTGAAGTTATCAATGTCGATGTAAAATCATTTCAGTCAAAAAAGTTTAAATGTTATTCTCTCTACCTACATTTCCTAAGGAATCCAACAATCAAAAACACGAAGTCTAATTAAAAAAAAGAAAAGAAAAAGAAAACAAGCACCTAACAAGTATAAAACTCACCTCTCTTAACAAAAAGATTTTTCTTGGCCATCTCTGTGTGCAGCACAGATTTACTATCTGCATCAAATATCATTTCCTACAACCCCAAAAAAACTATTTTTTTTCAGCAAAGGTGAATAATAAAAGTAGTGAGTTAAAATAAGTCCATTAAATCAATAGGAGAAACCTGAAGAGCATCTTTCGCAGCAACTGCAAGCTGGGCAGTCGAGAAGAGAGCAAAGCCCATGGGTTTTTCTCCCTTGTAGTTCACTTGTGACGCCTCGTAACCTGGTAGCCATCTCAGTAGGTTCTGTAGCTCTCTCTCCTTAACGTCTTCAGGCAGACCAGTAATGAAAATCGTGCGAACCTAATATAGAACAACAATTTCCCATCGCTTCAAACAATTTACTAAAAGATTGAACCAATCATCAATTGCATTCTCCTAGAAAAAGGAAAGTTGCTAAAATCCTTATATTCATAATCAAATCAAGGAATAAATTTATTCCAGCTGAAAAACCAAATCATTAAAAGAGAGCCAATGTAATCCCCAATTAACACGCCAAAGCAAGATTAAATCTTCTTTTTTTTTCATTTAAATCAACTAATTTTGATTCCTAGGTTTTCCGTACAATTAGAGGAAACAGAAAGAAAGAGAATAATACCTCATCATGACCGGGGCGGTTAGCGTTGTCATAAGGAACGGGAGGAGGAGGAGGCGGTGCTGCGGCGGATGCAGCGGCCGGTGGCGGAGGTGGAGCTGGTGCCGGCGGCCATTGCTGGTGGTATGGGTGGATTCCAGCGCCTGCCATGACAACGAAATCTACAGAAAAAAACCTAATCTACAGAATCGAAAAAAACAAACCCTAGAAACAATGTACGAGGGAGAGAAAAATTTATGGCAGAATGGATTTCTTGATTATTATGCATGTGTATATAAAGATTCTGTTTCTCGTTCTATTTCGCAAGCTTTTGCTTATTTTTGATGTGCCCCAAATAATTCATTTTTTTCTTTTTAATCCCAACTTCCCCATTTATCATTGTTTCCAATTTTCCACTTTTATATATATTTTATAATGTAAGCCTAAATGAAGATTTATTAACCATCATCATAACTAGAAATCTATACCCAAATTTTATTAATACTTTGCACCACCCAAGTTGTTATGAAGATTCATATTTCATCACTCAAAATGGTCTGAAACAAAAATGGCATTTTCGGTGTAAATAGTAAATAAGGTCTCACCCAAAGGACCATTAACCTTGTGCCTATAGTTCGAGAGGTTCGAGGTGTCCTCTTAGCCCCATTGATATCACTTGTCAAGATCAGGCGCTTACCATCATTCCAAAAGCTTAAGCTATCAGCAAATACCCAACATTATTTCTTTAAATCATCAACCTAGGCTGACGGTTCGAGGTGACTTGGCCCCAAGTCTCCGCCACAATAGGGTGTTGGCTCACCTAACAAACGTACAGTTTACTTTTTCATAATTGAGTATTGTTGTTATAAAAATTCGTAATAACTAAAGGGATTCGATCGACTTTGATGGGATTGAGTCAAATGGGTGCGTTATTGTGATTAACCAACAAAATGAGATGAACTAATCGAAAACAAGGAATGAACACATTGAACATTAAAAATAATAAAGAACAACATAGAATTCTTTTAAAGAGATTTGGTGGGGTGATTCCCAAACCTATGTCCTCCGCTACCTTATTGCGAGGGGCATTCTTCCCTTTGATCATAGATTACAAAGAGTTGTTCTCTTCTCTCAATGAGATATGTGTGTTAAGTAAAGAAGATCTCCCCACCGAAAGGGCTTTACATGAGTGAGAAAAAGAGGGAGAGAGGGAGAGAATCTGAGAACTCCCTTTGTTCGAGTGGAAAGCTAGCTTATATAAGCTATAATAGTAACAAACTTGTAATTAAAGTTTAACTTGTTGTGAGCCTTTAACTTGTGGGTAATATTTAACTTGGGATAAGTATTTAACTTGCAAGTGGGTGCATAGCAAGGTGATTGCTCTTACTGTTCTCCTTTTTGAAAGGGAATGGACTTTCCTTCTGTGCTCATGTTAGATAATGGTTAGCAATTGATGATTACGAGGGGATTTGCACGCATAATCCCTTTCAATTTTGATATGAGTGACACGTGGGACAATCCTAATCGCTTGGATTTGGCTTGGTTAGAAGACAAGTGGCACAAATCTGATAGCCTGGAGAATCACGCACAACAAGTATCCACATGTCCATACTGATAAACACTTTCACCCCAAACTCCTTTAATCGATGCTTATCTTCAAAAGATTGGGACCTCCAACTGTTAGTGTATGCCCTAGGAGTGTTGTCGGTTTCAAGACATTATATCTTGTAAATGTATTATGAATAAAAGAAAGTGTTCTTATTTCACATGTTGATTTTCTGTTTCATTTATATTATATTATATTTAATATTGCATGTGAAATGTCCGGATAACACAGATCTTCAGAAGATCAAATCATCAAAGAATTCCTTACGCAAGTAATGTTAACTGGGCAATAACATTGCATAGTAGGCATGTTGAATGTCTCCATTGAATATCATGTGATGGTATTAGTATGGGTGATTATAAGAGGTATGTCACTAAAACATTAGCATGGATAAATGGTTAGTGAACTATTTATCGAATATGACCAATTACGATGAATCACATGGATGTGGTCAATGATGCATCGTAGAATCGTGCTAGTATTCCACTTATCCTTAGACCTGAGACATCACGGTTGAATTCAACATAGGATGTATATGGTTCATATGGTGTATAAGCATGAGACTAGTCATGTCTTGTGTAATAAACCGGTTTAGTCATATGTTATCCATGTGCGAGGACAAGTGATGGTCAAGATGGGATCTATTAACTCAAAATAGTTCAATCTCGAGTTCCCAAACGAATGTCAATATACATTGGAAAAGGAAAATCTCAGGCTAGAGTATAATGAACGTTAGATGAAAAGTAGTTTTATGTTGACGAGTTTCATTGTATCGATTGAGAATTCGATTAAAGATTAAGTTAAAGGTTTTGACATACCATGAATCATTCTTAATCGAGATTAGATAACGGAGGATTTGACTACACGGTACGTACGATCAGAATAGGTTCATTGAAGTTTACACTTTATTGTGGTTTATGGGTTATGGAACATTGCTAGACGTCTACCATAATCAGTGGGAGTTTCGATTATAAAGAGTTATAATGAAACATATCAAAATCCGATATTAGGCCCACGGCTAGATCACAATGAACCAAAATGGCCACACATAAAACCAAGCTCAAGGAGAGAAAGTAATACATATCATTAATCAGATTAATGATGTTTGGACGTAAACAGCTGCATCCGAATTAATGTATTGGTGAGAAATGATTATCCATGGGTAGCTAGCACTAACCAATGGTAATAAAGATTTATTAAATATTATTATTGAATTGGATTCAATGATGGGGGCAAAAGTGCATTATTTTTATTTTAAAGGGTTAGAATATTTAATAGAACTAAAATTTGGTCTAATTATGAATTAACCATAAAACCAAGGACTTGACATAAATGTTTATTCTCAAGTTAATTCTAAATTGTTTGATGCTTTCTCAAAATAATTTAAAATTACACTTTGTGCCCATGATATATAAATTAAGAATTATACTATTTTAATGCAATTGCAACAATTGAAAACAAAAAGCACTATCTCGGCTCTCTCTCATCTTTGGCTTGGGTGGATTTTATTTTGAGTTTTTTCATTCTCTTTTGAATAATCTAGACTCCAAGTTTCAACATAAAGCTTTTAATAGCAAAAGGAGTTTGTAATTTTCTATCATTTTCTTACATTAATAAGTTAATATTTTAATTGTTTATTTTCTACCTTATGCCTATTATCTTAATAATCATTTTCTCTTAATTTTCATGTCCAAAATGCGTGAAACACAATACTAACATCGCCTATTATTTGAGCTATGACCATTACCACCACTATTCCAATACTACGACTCGCGGAGATCTTCAACCTAGATCGCGGCGTGACTTGAGCCGTAATTGGATTAAGATTCATTGATGGTCAGCCAAGACTAGTGACAATTTACCAAATAGCCCAAAAGTTCAAAATTCGAATGCCCGACGCCTTAGTTCATAATCATTTTTTGCACCTATATATCCAAAAGCATGCGTTAACAACTATTTATTAAATGGAGGTATAGATAATATGTTGTACTCGTCCTATACTTTCTTTTTAATTTCCTTTTCATGTGCATTAACCTCAATTGAACACCTCTCAAGTCTTTTAATATGAGCAAGTATTATTATACAAAGTTTTTACATCAAATTTTACATCTTAATGATGTGACACTGTTTTAGAGATTTATAACATAAATTACATCATTACATTTCTCATAACAATTATAAATTAATGACATGTCACTTAGGATATAAAATCTGGGATACAAATTTAAAATGTAAACCCTAAGTGATTAGTTTGGTAGTTAAAGAGGTTTGTTCTCTTTTTTGAGTTCCTAGGTTCAAATCTTGAGGTCACTTACTACAATAATATTGTAGTTTACTTAATCTTTGGGTTTATAGAGTGTTCAATAAACTCTGAGGATTAGTTGAGGTGCGTGCAAGCTGGCCCGAACACCTCGATTATAAAAAAATTAAAAATTAAAATGAATAACATAATTTATATAAGAACAGTTATAAAAGGAAACTATATATCTCACTTTGATGTTATAGAATAAAACAATATTTATGAGTAAGTATAAAACATTCAAAGAAAACAGTGTTTTACATAAATTAATGTGTAAATTTTTTAATGTATTTTTATAGCACATGTAATTTGAAAAAAAGGAATATGTAATCTTATAAAAACTCATTTTACAAACTAGTTTGATATTATTTTACAGGGGGAACGACTTACACATACCCAAAGTTTGTTGTATGGACAAAGTGGTACCCAAAAGATTTAGAAATGACAAACACCCACTTTCTATCTTATTCTGTTAGGAATTTCCACCTGCTAAAAGACAAAAATAGTGAAAAGATTGGAATACCCACTGATCTCCATTCCCAACGTGCGCCAGCAAGGGCCAATGCCACTGTTTATCACCGAACTTCGTAGAAAAATGCTAAATCTGGTCAAAAAATCGATTGATGACGCAAAAGGACTGTGCAAACGGGCTTGGGGTGAGAATGGATACGGAGAAAAAGATTTAAAATTTAAAAATTTTATGCCTGTAGATGAAATTACTATACTTTCTTTTAGCAGATAGAAATCCCTAATAAAATATAACAAAAAGTATTTGTTTGTTATTTTCAAACTTTTTGGGTATCAACCTATTTTTATGCCAAACTTTGGGTTCGGCCTATTTTACAAATTGATGTATTACAATATAATAAGATGAATTGAAAATTAAATTGAAGTATTGTAATATAATAGGATGAAATGAAAAGTTAGGACACATTTCTCAGGGTAAAATGGTCAATTAGACATTTATTGGGTTTTAGGGTTTAGCAGGGTACCGACTTCACTTCACACTTCGCATTAAGCATTTGTGAACAGAGAAGAACAAAAGAACAAGTTTGTGGAGTGAAGGCGCAGCAGCAACCATGGCCAGCACTAAAGTTCAGAGGATCATGACCCAACCCATTGTAATATTGCTTATTTTCTTCATCATTTACCCACAAATTTTAATTCTTTTTTATTATTTCTCATAATTAACATATTTCTTTGTATTCTGGTTTTGTTGTTGCAGAACCTGATTTTCAGGTTTCTCCAAAGCGTAAGTGTCAATTTTCATGTTTTTCTCTTTGTTCTTTTTCGTATAAGCTGTTATCTTCGTTTCCCACTTTCCTTTCCTAATGGTTTTAATTTTTGCAGAAAGCTCGCATTCAGATTTGGCTGTTTGAGCAGAAAGATTTGAGGATCGAAGGCCGTATTATTGTAAGTTGTTTTAATAATTTTCTTTTGTTTAAAATTTGTTATTGCAAGATTTAAACTATACCCGTCGAGATTCTTCACTTAAATGGTGTTGGAAAAATATGGGACGAATTTCATATTGTTTCGTGGTCTTTTAACTTAAAATTTTGACTTAATTTCCAACCATTTCAATTGCTGAGTTCGGAATATTAATTGTTACTTTTTTGCTTTGAATAATAACCATTGAATGAAATTGAATGGATGATTGAGAATTTGTGTCTCATTTTATGTTAAAAAGATCCTAAACCTTTATTATTGACACAATGTATTTTATTTTCTTTCATTAAGCAGTCCATCTTGAAACTTTTACACATCTTATATAGACTGCAAATAATTTCTTGATTTTGTCTTCATCATTAGGTGAAATTAAAGTTTTACTAGAATTGATATCTATATCAATTGACGGCTTCTATGTCTCAAAATCTTCAGAGTAGTCTTTATTCCATCTGTTTCTAGTCTATTGTAGCATAACTCATCAGTCCTACGTTGATATGTCTTTATGTGATTAATGCTATGTGGGTTTTTAGAAAAGATGAAATGGTTGCAAACTGTTCTTGGTCACTGGCAGTAAATTCCTCCAAATGCTTTTTTCTTTTAACCATCCGACATTGACTGAGTGTGAGTCCAAATGCCTGTTTAATAACACTTTATACTTAGGAAGTCTTAAATATTTCTTTGTTTTCTCTTTTTCTATATTTGCTCTTCAGTTTTTGTAACTGTGGTTGTAATCAGAATCTCGACATTAAACATTTTTTTTTCCTTCTATTTTTGATAATCCATCTGAGGTGTTATATATCTGTAGATCTAGGAAACATGTCTACCTCTAATAGCAATGTAATCTGTTTTTACTGAGAGAAGGAACAAGCAATCTCGTTACAGAAATAATAGGGTATTATTCTTGATATATATATATGAAGAAGTAAAGTGATCTGGTAGACATTCTGACTGTTTAGATAAAAAATGAATACCAAGGCATCTTTATTCTAGTTATATCTGCTGAGGGAAATTACAATTGTATTGATATGAATACTACTCATTTCATGTTTGCTTGCAGCTGGATAGTAAATTGTATGTCTTTGAGTTTGATGTTCTGTACAATGTTTCTTTTTTGAGGCTGTTTCTCATTTTTCTAAAAATTATATTCTGAACCTCTTTTCTTTTAGGGATTTGATGAGTACATGAATTTGGTTTTGGATGATGCTGAAGAAGTTAATGTAAAGAAGAAGACTAAAAAGTCACTGGGTGAGTTGCATATATAACGTTGTCAAGAAAAAAAAATAGTTACAAATGACTACTCGTATTTTTGTTAGTTCACTATGTTAACTAAATCTTGATGTTGGGTAGGGAGGATCCTCTTGAAGGGAGACAATATAACTCTGATGATGAATACGTATGTTATCTCTCTCTCTCTCAAATTCACCGATATTGACACACATAAGTTTCTTTTCTATATTCCTTTTCATGCATGAACTATTTTTCTTCTCAAAATTAACTGTCTCATGAGAAAACATTTTCTTTATGTCCAGGGGAAAATGATAACTGAGGTGATGGTGGTTTGTGATATGGCAAAGTTACTCTTTCTTCCTTTTGTAGTCAATCTTCTTTCTGGAATTTTCTCTAGTCAATCAATCAAGCAGAATATTGGAATTTCACTGCTAAGCTTTCAATTACGATGCCTTTTGTAATGATGAATCCTCCTGGAGACTGACCATGGATGTATAGCTATTTGTATGACATTCTGTCTGCACATTTTATCCCCATTTTATGAGATTATATGTGATCCTTTTCCATGGTTTTCCTAAATCTTAAGGTTTTACTCAATACATAAGTGGATGATGATTAATCTTGTGCTTATTTTGAATAGAAGAGAGATTTATTTAGGCTAAGTTATCGTGAATACTTGAATTTACTTTGAGTGGAAAAAAGAAAAAATTGAATTGATGAATTCTACATTAAATACGGAAAATGGAGATGAGAAACTATAATCTTAATAGATTGAAATTAAGAAAGTGATCAAGTCAATACTTGGCTATGGCTACTGTATCCTTGAAAGTTTTGTTGTAGGAGAGATTTTCTGGTCTTAAAATGGAAAATGAATAAATTGAATACGACATTAACATAACCATTAAACATAATACTAATTGCTTATAAGCACTTCTAAGAAATAACACTATTACAAACTGGAAATCTTTTCATTTTCCATTTACTAGGATATGGAAAGGACTTCAGTCATGCACACCTTTATTAAAACTTAGAACTACTCCTGTTACAACCACCACCACTAAAAAATAAAAATAAAAAATCAATTATTACTACTAATACTACTACAACAACAGTTTTGACTTGAAAGAAATCAAAATGGCACCAACTCACCATAGATATAGATACTACTACCATTTATTTCCTTTCATATTTTTTCTCTTCTGTTGGCAGGCAGCCATATTATCTGGTTACTTATTGCATAACCAGTAGGTAAACATGTTCCTAGATGTCTTTATCTATAATTCAAGGAACACAAACTCTTCAATGGCAGGCACATCCCCTATTTCGTTGAGAGCCTCCTTGTTCGGTTCTTCATCGATGCCGATTGCCATGACAGCTTGTTTTCTCCTGTAAGTTCTCCCTACACTCATGAAGTTGACATTCACATTGTGCTTTGCAAGTATGTTACCAACCTTGCCAATCATGCCCGGTTGATCCACCTGCCTGCACAGAATTAGGTTCCCTTCCAGGCTCACATCCACGGCAAATGCTCCGACACATGTCAAGTGAGGTACCCCATATTTCACTTTACCCTCAACGCTTATATCTCCATTGTCTGAAATAGAGCTAGCAAACTTAGAATCAACACTGGATACATGCAGCTGGATTGAATCGATGGGGACCTCTGGGGATGAGTCCACGACCACGCGTTCTTCACTAATGCGGAGGCCTTTCTGTTTAGCTGTGAAATCTGCATTTACCAGATTGATAAATGAGGATGATATCGGTTCAATGATGCCTTTTGTGATCATGGCTCGGAGAATTCTCGTGTCCAAGTCATCTGGGTTTCGAGATGATCGATAAGTCACCTTCACAGATTTGATTCCACTCCCACCAGAGACCAACTGCACAGCTAACCTACCAAGCTTCTCAGCTAGCACAACATAAGGAGCCAACTCTGACAAGACTTCAGCAGGAACCATTGGAGCATTAACAGCAGTAGCAGAAAGCTCCCCGTTCAACGCTCCAACAACAGCCTCTGCTATTTCAATAGCTACTCCTTCCTGATACGTGGTACGTACACATCTATGTATTAGCGAAGGATAAATTTAGATCCATATTTCTGAAAAGAGCCAATCGAAACATCATACCTGTGCTTCCTTGGTGCTAGCTCCAAGATGAGGTGTGACAGTAACATTCTCATGTTGCACTAGCTTACTGTCTTTTGCTGGTGGTTCTTGACAGAACACGTCTATAAATAAGTATTATACTTTTTAATGCATGTAACAATTGAAACAAAAAGAATCTCTCATTTTCTCTCTCACTCTCTCGCTCTCTCTCATCTTTGGCTTGGGTGATTTTATTTTGAGTTTTTCATTCTCTTTTGAAAATTAGACTCCAATTTTCAACATAAGCTTTTAATAGCAAAAAGAGTTTGTAATTTTCTATCATTAAATAAGTTAATGTTTTAATTGTTTTTTCTACCTTATGTTCATCATCTTAATCATCATTTCTTTCATTTCTTGTCCAAAAGTTGAAACACAACACTAACATCACCTATTATTAGCTATGACCATTACCACCACTACCCAATACCGACTCGCGGAGATCTTCAACTAGATCACGTCGTGACTTGAGCCGTAATTGGACTAAGATTCATTGATGGCGCCAAGACTAGTAACAATTACCAAATAGCCCAAAAGTTCAAAATTCGAATGCCCGACGCCCTAGTTCTAATCATTTTGCACCTATATATCCAAAGCATGCGTTAACAACTTAATCTGTAATGTTAACATATTAAATGGAGGTACAGATAATATGTTGTACTCGTCCTATACTTTCTTTTTAATTTCCTTTTCATGTGCATTAACCTCAATTGAACACCTCTCAAGTCTTTTAATATGAGCAAGTATTATTATACAAAGTTTTACATCAAATTTTACATCTTAATGATGTGACACTTTTTTGAGTTTATAACATAAATACATCATTACATTCACATAACAATATAAATTAACGACATGTCACTTAGGATATAAAATTGGATACAAATTTAAAATGTAAACCCTAGGTGATTAGTTTGGTAGTTAAAGAGTTTGCTCCTTTTTTGAGTTCCTAGGTTCAAATCTTGAGGTCACTTACTACATAATTATAGTTTATCTAGTCCTTTGGTTATAGAGTGTTCAATGATCCCGATGATAGTTGAAGTGCGTGCAAACTGGCCCGGACACCTCGATTATAAAAAAAAAAAAATTAAAATGTATAACATATTATATAAGAACAGTTAAAAGGAAACTATATATCTCACTTGATGTTATAGAATAAAACAATATTTATGAGTATTATAAAAATTAAAGAAACAATATTTTTTACATAAATTAATGTGTAAATTTTTAATGTATTTTTATAGCACATGTAATTTGAAAAAAATATGTAATCTTATAAAAACTCATTTTACAAACTAGTTTGTATTATTTTACAAGGATGACTACACATACCCAAAGTTTGTTGTAAAAAAAGTGGTACCCAAAAGTTTAGAAGACAAACACCACTTTCTCATTTCTGTTAGGAATTTCCATTGCTAAAACAAAATGGTGAAAAGATGAATACCCACGATCTCCATTCCAACGTGCCCAGCAAGGGCCATGCCACTGTTTATCACGAACTTCAAGAAAAATGCTAAATCTGGTCAAAAAATCGATCGATGACACAAAGAGCTGCAAACGGGCTTGGGTGAGAATGGATACGGAGAAAAAGATTTAAAATTTAAAATTTTATGATTGTAGATGAAATTATTATACTGTCTTTTAGCAGATAGAAATCCCTAATAATATAACAAATATTTGTTTATTATTTCCAAACTTTTGGTATCAATTTTTTATGCAAACTTTGGGTGTGGTCGGCCAATTTTACAAATTGATGTTTTACAATATAATAAGATAATTGAAAATTAAATTGATTATTATAATATAATGATGAAATGAAAAGTTAGGACACATTTCTCGGGTAAAATGGTCAATTAGACATTATTGGGTTTTAGGTTTAGCAGGGTACCGATTTCACTTCACACTTCGCATTAGCTTTGTGACAGAGAAGAACAAAAGAACAAGTTTGTGGAGTGAAGGCGCAGCAGCAACCATGGCCAGCACTAAAGTTCAGAGGATCATGACCCAACCCATTGTAATATTGCTTTTTCTTCATCATTTACCCACAAATTTTAATTCTTTTTTTATTATTCTCATAATTAACATATTTCTTTGTATTCTGGTTTTGTTGTTGCAGAACCTGATTTTCAGGTTTCTCCAAAGCTGAGTGTCAATTTCATGTTTTTCTCTTTGTTCTTTTTCGTATAAGCTGTTATCTTCGTTTCCCACTTTCCTTCCTATGGTTTTAATTTTTGCAGAAAGCTCGCATTCAGATTTGGCTGTTTGAGCAGAAAGATTTGAGGATCGAAGGCCGTATTTGTAATTGTTTTAATATTTTTTTTGTTTAAAATTTGTTATTGCAAGATTTAAACTATACCCGTCGAGATTCTTCACTTAAATGTGTTGGAAAAATATGGGACGAATTTCATATTGTTTCGTGGTCTTTTAACTTAAAATTTTGACTTAATTGCCAACCATTTCAATTGCTGAGTTCGATATTAATTGTTACTTTTTGCTTTGAATAATACCATTGAATGAAATTGAATGGATGATTGAGAATTTGTGTCTCATTTTATGTTAAAAAGATCCTAAACCTTATATTGACACAATGTTTTTATTTTCTTTTAGTAAGCAGTCCATCTTGAAACTTTTACACATCTTATATAGACTGCAAATATTTCTTGATTTTGTCTTCATCATAGGTGAAATTAAAGTTTTACTAAATTATATCTATATCATTGAGGCTTCTATGTCTCAAAATCTTCAGAGTAGTCTTATTCCATCTGTTTCTAGTCTATGTAGCATAACTCATCAGTCCTACGTTGATATGTCTTTTGTGATTAATGCTATGTGGGTTTTTAGAAAAGAAATGGTTGCAAACTGTTCTTGGTCACTGGCAGTAAATTCCTCCACAAATGCTTTTTCTTTTAACCATCCGACATTGACTGAGTGTGAGTCCAAATGCCTGTTTAATAACACTTTAACTTAGGAAGTCTTAAATTTCTTTGTTTTCCTTTTTCTATATTTGCTCTCAGTTTTTGTAACTGTGGTTGTAATCAGATCTGACATTAAACATTTTTTTTTTCCTCTATTTTTGATAATCCATCTAGTGTTATATATCTGTAGATCTAGGAACATGTCTACCTCTAATAGCAAGATCTGTTTTTACTGAGAGAAGGAACAGCATCTCGTTACAGAAATTAGGGTATTATTCTTGATATATATATTATGAAGAAGTAAAGTGATCTGGTAGACATACTGACTGTTTAGATAAAAATGTTATTTCACATGTTGATTTTCTGCTTCATTTATATTATATTATATTTAATATTACATGTGAAATGTCTGGATGACACGGATCTTCAGAAGATCAAATCATCAAAGAATTCTTTACGCAAGTAATGTTAATTGGGCAATAACATTGCATAATAGGCATATTGAATGTCTCCATTGAATATCATGTGATGGTATTAGTGTGCATGATTATAATAGGTATGTCACTAAGACATTAGCATGGATAAACGGTTAGTGAATTGTTTATCGAATATGACAAATTATGATGAATCACATGGATGTGGTCAATTGTGCTAGTATTCTACTTATCCTTAGACTTGAGGCATCACAGTTGGATTCAACATAGGATGCATATGGTTCATATGGTGTATAAGCACGAGACTAGTCATGTCTTGTGTAATAAGTCGGTTTGGTCATATGTTATCCATGTGCGAGGACAAGTGATGGTCAAGATGGGATCCGTTAACTCAAAATAGTTTAATCTCGAGTTCCCAAACGAATGTCAATAAACATTGGAAAAGAGAAATTTCAGGCCAGAATATAATGAATGTTAGATGAAAAGTAGTTTCATGTTGACGAGTTTCATTGTATCGATTGAGAATTCGATTAAGATTAAGTTAAAGTTTTTGACATACCATGAACCATTCTTAATCGGGATTAGATAATGGAGGGATTTGACTACAGGGTACGTACAATCAGAATAGGTTCATTGGAGTTTACACTTCATTGTGGTTTAGGGGTTATGGAACGTTGCTAGACATCTACCATAATCAGTGTGAGTTTCGATTATAAAGAGTTATAATGAAACATACCAAAATCAGATATTAGGCCCACGGCTAGATCACATAAAACCAAGCTCAATGAGAGAGTAATACATATCATTAATCAGATTAATGATGTTCGGACGTAAACGGTTGCATCCGAATTAATGTATTGGTGAGAAATGATTATCCATGGGTAGTTAGCACTAACCAATAGTAATAAAGATTTGTTAAATATTATTATTGAATTGGATTCAATGATGGGGGCAAAAGTGCATTATTTTTATTTTAAAGGGTTAGAATATTTAATAGAACTAAAATTTGGTCTAATTATGAATTAAATATATAAATTAAGAATATACTATTTTAATGCAATTGCAACAATTGAAAACAAAAAGCACTATCTCGGCTCTTTCTCATTTTGGCTGGGTGGATTATTTTGAGTTTTTCATTCTCTTTTGAATAATCTAGACTCCAAGTTTCAACATAAAGCTTTAATAGCAAAAGGAGTTTGTAATTTTCTATCATTTTTACATTAATAAGTTAATATTTTAATTGTTTATTTTCTACCTTATGCCTATATCTTAATAATCATTTTTCTAATTTTCATGTCCAAAATGCGTGAAACACAATACTAACATCGCCTATTATTGAGCTATGACCATTACCACCACTATTCCAATACTACGACTCGCGGAGATCTTCAACCTAGATCGCGGCGTGACTGAGCCGTAATTGGACTAAGATTCATTGATGGTCGCCAAGACTAGTGACAATTACCAAATAGCCCAAAAGTTCAAAATTCGAATGCCCGACGCCTTAGTTCTAATCATTTTTGCACCTATATATCCAAAGCATGCGTTAACAACTATTTATTAAATGGAGGTATAGATAATATGTTGTACTCGTCCTATACTTTCTTTTTAATTTCCTTTTCATGGGCATTAACTCAATTGAACACCTCTCAAGTCTTTTATATGAGCAAGTATTATTATACAAAGTTTTTACATCAAATTTACATTAATGATGTGACACGTTTTGAGATTATAAACATAAATACATCATTACATTTCTCATAACAATTATAAATTAATGACATGTCACTTAGGATATAAAAATGGGATACAAATTTAAAATGTAAACCCTAAGTGATTAGTTTGGTAGTAAAGAGGTTGTTCTCTTTTTTGAGTTCCTAGGTTCAAATCTTGAGGTCACTTACTACAATAATATTGTTTACTTAATCTTGGGTTTATAGAGTGGTTCAATAAACTCTGAGGATTAGTTGAGGTGCGTGCAAAGCTGGCCCGAACACCTCGATTATAAAAAAATTAAAAATTAAAATGAATAACATAATTTATATAAGAACAGTTATAAAAGGAAACTATATATCTCACTTTGATGTATAGAATAAAACAATATATGAGTAAGTATAAAACATTCAAAGAAACATGTTTACATAAATTAATGTGTAAATTTTTAATGTATTTTATAGCACATGTAATTTGAAAAAAAAGAATATGTAATCTATAAAAACTCATTTTACAAACTAGTTTGATATTATTTACAGGGACGACTACACATACCCAGTTTGTTGTATGACAAAGTGGTACCCAAAAGTTTAGAATGACAAACACCCACTTTCTATCTATTCTGTTAGGAATTTCCACCTGCTAAAAGACAAAAAAAGTGAAAAGATGGAATACCCACGATCTCCATTCCCAACGTGCGCCAGCAAGGGCCAATGCCACTGTTTATCACCGAACTTCAGAAAAATGCTAAATCTGGTCAAAAAATCGATGATGACGCAAAAGGACTGTGCAAACGGCTTGGGGTGAGAATGGATACGGAGAAAAAGATTTAAAATTTAAAAATTTATGCTGTAGATGAAATACTATACTTCTTTTAGCAGATAGAAATCCCTAATAAATATAAAAAAAGTATTGTTGTATTTTCAAACTTTTGGGTATCAACCTTTTTATGCCAAACTTGGGTTCGGCCATATTTACAAATTGATGTATACAATATAATAAGATGAATTGAAAATTAAATTGAGTATTGTAATATATAGGATGAATGAAAAGTTAGGACACATTTCTCAGGGTAAAATGGTCAATTAGACATTTATTGGGTTTTAGGGTTTAGCAGGGTACCGACTCACTTCACACTTCGCATTAAGCATTTGTGAACAGAGAAGAACAAAAGAACAAGTTGTGGAGTGAAGGCGCAGAGCAACCATGGCCAGCACTAAAGTCAGAGGATCATGACCCAACCCATTGTAATATGCTTCTTTTCTTCATCATTTACCCACAATTTATTCTTTTTTATTATTTTCATATAGTTAACATATTCTTTGTATTCTGGTTTTGTTGCTGCAGAACCTGATTTTCAGGTTTCTCCAAAGCGTAAGGTCAATTTTCATGTTTTTCTCTTTGTTCTTTTTCGTATAAGCTGTATCTTGTTTCCCACTTTCCTTTCCTAATGGTTTAATTTTTGCAGAAAGCTCGCATTCAGATTTGGCTGTTTGAGCAGAAAGATTTGAGGCGAAGGCCGTATTATGTAGTTGTTTTAATAATTTCTTTTGTTTAAAATTTGTTATTGCAAGATTAAACTATACCCTGTCGAGATTCTTCACTTAAATGGTGTTGGAAAAATATGGGACGAATTTCATATGTTTCGTGGCTTTTAACTTAAAATTTTGACTTAATTGCCAACCATTTCAATTGCTGAGTTCGGAATATTAATTGTCTTTTTGCTTGTTGAATAATAACCATTGAATGAAATGAATGGATGATTGAGAATTTGTGTCTCATTATGTTAAAAAGATCCTAAACCTTTATATGACACACAATGTATTTTATTTTCTTTCATTAAGCAGTCCATCTTGAAACTTTTACACATCTTATATAGACTGCAAATAATTTCTTGATTTTGTCTTCATCATTAGGTGAAATTAAAGTTTTACTAGAATTGATATCTATATCATTGATGGCTTCTATGTCTCAAAATCTTCAGAGTAGTCTATTCCATCTGTTTATGTCTATTGTAGCATAACTCATCAGTCCTACGATGATATGCTTTATGTGATTAATGCTATGTGGGTTTTTAAAAGATGAAATGGTTGCAAACTGTTCTTGGTCACTGGCAGTGAATTCCTCCCACCAAATGCTTTTTTCTTTTAACCATCCGACATTGACTGAGTGTGAGTCCAAATGCCTGTTTAATAACACTTTATACTTAGGGTCTTAAATATTTCTTTGTTTTCCTTTCTATATTTGCTCTCAGTTTTGTAACTGTGGTGTAATCAGATATCGACATTAAACATTTTTTTTTCCTTCTATTTTTGATAACATCTGAGGTGTTATATATCTGTAGATCTAGGAAACATGTCTACCTCTAATAGCAATGTAATCTGTTTTTACTGAGAGAAGGAACAAGCAATTCGTTACAGAAATAATAGGGTATTATTCTTGATATATTATATATGTGTTGAAGAAGTAAAGTGATCTGGTAGACATACTGACTGTTAGATAAAAAATGATACCAAGGATCTTTATCTAGTTTATCTGCTGAGGGAAATTACAATGTATGATATGAATACTACTCATTTCAGTTTGCTTGCAGCTGGATAGTAAATTGTATGCTTTGAGTTGAGTTCTGTACAATGTTTCTTTTTGAGGCTGTTTCTCATTTTTCTAAAAATTATATTCTGAACCTCTTTTCTTTAGGGATTTGATGAGTACATGAATTTGGTTTTGGATGATGCTGAAGAAGTTAATGTAAGAAGAAGACTAAAAAGTCACGGGGAGTTGCATATATAACGTTGTCAAGAAAAAAAAAAGAGTTACAAATGACTACTCGTATTTTTGTTAGTTCACTATGTAACTAAATCTTGATGTTGGGTAGGGAGGATCCTTGAAGGGAGACAATTAAACTCTGATGATGAATACGTATGTTATCTCTCTCTCTCTCCAATTCACCGATATGCACACACATAAGTTTCTTCTATATTCTTTTCATGCATGAACTATTTTTTTTCAAAATTAACTGTCTCGAGAAAACATTTTTTTTATGTCCAGGGGAAAATGATAACTGAGGTGATGGTGGGTTGTGATATGGCAAAGTTACTCTTTCTTCCTTTTGCAGTCAATCTTTTTCTGGATTTTCTAGTCATCAATCAAGCAGAAATTGGAATTTCACTGCTAAGCTTTCAATTACGATGCCTTTGTAATGATGAATCCTCCGGAGACTGACCATGGATGTATAGCTATTTGTATGACATTCTGTCTGCACATTTTATCCCCATTTTATGAGATTATATGTGATCCTTTTCCATGGTTTTCCTAAATCTAAGGTTTTACTCAATACATAAGTGGAGATGATTAATCTTGTGCTATTTTTGAATAGAAGAGAGATTTATTTGGAGGGGTGTTTGTCCGAGGTATAAAAATAGCTTATAAGCAACAAGTAATTTTAAGCTAATTTTAACTTATAAGCATTTGAAATTTTAAGCAATTCGTGTTTAGTTGAAGTACTTATAAGTGATGATAGTAATTGACGTGTTTGATAAAATCTGGTTTATAAGTACATTTTATTATAAAAATGACTAAAAAGGGTACTACATTAAATAATGGTATACTATGAAATTTTAAGATTAATAAGGATAATGTGGTAATATATTTGGTCAAATAGCTTATAAGCAGAGTACTTATAAGAAAAAAAAAAAAAAAAAAGTACCTCCATTTAACTTATTTTTTTTTAGCTTATAATCTCAATTTAAAATTAAAAAAAGTTATAAACAAACAAATAGTTTAATTTTAGAGCTTATAAACTAGTTTGACCAGTTTATAAGCTTAGACAAACATCCCCTTAACCTTTTCCATGGTTTTCCTAAATCTTAAGGTTTTACTCGATACATAAGTGGATAATGATTAATCTTGTGCTTATTTTGAATAGAAGAGAGATTTATTTAGGCTAAGTTATCGTGAATACTTGAATTTACTTTGAGTGGAAAAAAGAAAAAATTGAATTGATGAATTCTACATTAAATACGGAAAATGGAGATGAGAAACTATAATCTTAATAGATTGAAATTAAGAAAGTGATCAAGTCAATACTTGGCTATGGCTACTGTATCCTTGAAAGTTTTGTTGTAGGAGAGATTTTCTGGTCTTAAAATGGAAAATGAATAAATTGAATACGACATTAACATAACCATTAAACATAATACTAATTGCTTATAAGCACTTCTAAGAAATAACACTATTACAAACTGGAAATCTTTTCATTTTCCATTTACTAGGATATGGAAAGGACTTCAGTCATGCACACCTTTATTAAAACTTAGAACTACTCCTGTTACAACCACCACCACTAAAAAATAAAAATAAAAAATCAATTATTACTACTAATACTACTACAACAACAGTTTTGACTTGAAAGAAATCAAAATGGCACCAACTCACCATAGATATAGATACTACTACCATTTATTTCCTTTCATATTTTTTCTCTTCTGTTGGCAGGCAGCCATATTATCTGGTTACTTATTGCATAACCAGTAGGTAAACATGTTCCTAGATGTCTTTATCTATAATTCAAGGAACACAAACTCTTCAATGGCAGGCACATCCCCTATTTCGTTGAGAGCCTCCTTGTTCGGTTCTTCATCGATGCCGATTGCCATGACAGCTTGTTTTCTCCTGTAAGTTCTCCCTACACTCATGAAGTTGACATTCACATTGTGCTTTGCAAGTATGTTACCAACCTTGCCAATCATGCCCGGTTGATCCACCTGCCTGCACAGAATTAGGTTCCCTTCCAGGCTCACATCCACGGCAAATGCTCCGACACATGTCAAGTGAGGTACCCCATATTTCACTTTACCCTCAACGCTTATATCTCCATTGTCTGAAATAGAGCTAGCAAACTTAGAATCAACACTGGATACATGCAGCTGGATTGAATCGATGGGGACCTCTGGGGATGAGTCCACGACCACGCGTTCTTCACTAATGCGGAGGCCTTTCTGTTTAGCTGTGAAATCTGCATTTACCAGATTGATAAATGAGGATGATATCGGTTCAATGATGCCTTTTGTGATCATGGCTCGGAGAATTCTCGTGTCCAAGTCATCTGGGTTTCGAGATGATCGATAAGTCACCTTCACAGATTTGATTCCACTCCCACCAGAGACCAACTGCACAGCTAACCTACCAAGCTTCTCAGCTAGCACAACATAAGGAGCCAACTCTGACAAGACTTCAGCAGGAACCATTGGAGCATTAACAGCAGTAGCAGAAAGCTCCCCGTTCAACGCTCCAACAACAGCCTCTGCTATTTCAATAGCTACTCCTTCCTGATACGTGGTACGTACACATCTATGTATTAGCGAAGGATAAATTTAGATCCAGATTTCTGAAAAGAGCCAATCGAAACATCATACCTGTGCTTCCTTGGTGCTAGCTCCAAGATGAGGTGTGACAGTAACATTCTCATGTTGCACTAGCTTACTGTCTTTTGCTGGTGGTTCTTGACAGAACACGTCGAGCGCAGCCTGTTTTGTGCCATTACACATCAATATTAGGTACAAAAGTTTCACCATAATGTCATTTGTTAACATAATATGACTAGGAATGAATCATACCTGAGCAACTGTTCCATTATCAAGAGCTCTGACTAATGCATCTTCATCGATAACTCCACCTCTGGCGACATTAACGATGCGAACACCCTTCTTCATTTTAGCAAAAGTTTGGTCATTGAAAATCTTAGCAGTGGTGGGAGTGAGAGGCATATGGAGGGAGATGAAATCTGCAGTAGCAAGAGCCTGATCAAAAGAGACCAAATCAACACCAATGGCACGGGCTCTGTCAGCTGGGCAATATGGATCATGAGCAATAACATTCATGCCCAAACCCTTTGCACGTCTTGCAACTTCTGACCCAACTTTCCCAAATCCCATCACTGCCAATGTCTTTCCAACCAGTGATACTCCCACATATTTGTTCCTCTGCCATTTTCCTGTCACATTCCACCAATCTATATTAGCGTTTCTGGTGTTTTTAACTTGTCAAATCAACCTAACAAGATTATATTGCAAAACTTCTTAAAACAAGTAAGTCATAAAATTTTAAGATAAGTTTTTGATAAGCATCAGCAAATAGTAAGCATGTTTAAAATGACATTTGCATTTGGTGGGCAGATCAGATCCAAAAGTTTCAAAGTGATATTTGGTGAGCAGTCACCTCAGTCAAGAAACATTATCAAATTGACTGTGTTACATAAAGATATGGTTTGAAAAATAGGGTTCTATTTGCAATTAATTTTGGTTCCGTATTTTACCAACTCTCTTATTTTTCTTTAAAAAAAAAGGGGTCTGTGGAACAGCATCTTTCTGATATTTCCAATTGTTTATGAAAGCAACATATGATAAATAATTCAAAGCACCAACTGCCCAAATTGACAGTATTAGATTAACCATAAAAGTGGAAAATCGATTACGCTAAATAATTTACCGTTAGAAAAGTAACTTTCTTGAAACAAAAGAATAAATTTTATGCGATCCAGATCAACCAATCAAATAAAAACTAAAATTATTCTTCCTTTAAGCACTAGAAATAATTCATTTTAGTAAATAAAATAGTAAGAGTTCTAATGGTCATCTTTATTAGTATTCGAACTTGAAAGACCATATTAGATCATATTCTTGTTCTTTTATCTTCAAGAAGACTCGAACGAGATAAATCATGCTAGATCCTCCTCTTACTCTTTTTATCATCATAGAAACTTGAACTTTATAGATCATGTTAGATCTTTCTTTGATCTTGTATCATCCGTGGTGGTAAACCCTGCCCCCTTTGATTATGATTCTTATATCATAATTTTAAGGGTTGACTAATAGGGTAACCTTAAATTGGATTATATAAATATGTATAGATTAACCATAATTTAACATAAGAATAAGATTTTAATTTTGTATTTGACGTGATTATTATAAAACATTGCCACTGTGAATTTTTAAGAATAAAATTCAAACAACTTCAATTAAAAAATGAAAAAAGAAAATTATAGTTACCAGATTTCATGGAAGCATCAGCCTGAGCAACATTTCTGGCCATGGCAGCAAGCAACGCGATGCCATGTTCAGCGGCGGCCACCGTGTTGGCGGTGGGGGCGTTAACCACCAGGCACCCGAACTCCGTGGCGGCATGGAGATCCACATTGTCAATGCCAACACCAGCTCGGCCGACCACCTTCAACCTCCCCTTGGCGGCCTCAAAAACCTGCCGGGTAACCTTGGTGCCACTCCTCACAATTAGCGAATCAAATTTCGAGATCCTAGCGCAAAGCTCCTCAGGAGAAAGATCGTAGCAACATTCAACTTTCCCGAAGCCACTCAAAACCTGAAGACCGGCGTCTCCAAGCTTCTCGGAGACCAGGATGGAAGGCCTGTCTTCCGAAATCAAATCTTCAAGATTCTCGAAGTTGGACAAGGAGATGACCTCTTCAGTTTTCAGGGCGTTTGCGACGGATAATGAATGAGAATTACGGTGAGAATGGGAGAGCTTGAGGGAGGTGGGCGTGGAGGTGGGGTGTTGGTGGAAGGAAAGGAGGGAAGATGGTCGTGAGGAAGAAGGTGAAGGTGAGGAGGAAAAGAGAGGTGTAAAGAAGGGTTTGGTTGAAGAAGAAGAGGAAGAAGAAGCAATAGGAGTAGCCATTGAAATGGAGGATTGATTGGAAGGATTTCTGTTGAGAGTTGGTGCATCGGAGAGAGATGGGTGTTGGGATCTTTATAGTAAAGGTTGCAACCACAAAAAGTAATTAACTAAGAATAGACAGTAATTACGTCAGAGTTTTCGGTAAGACGGATGTATAAAAAATGTATGTACATTAAATTTTAGTCGTACAGTATAATTGTACAAAATTATGCTAAACAAAGTTCATTCAGAGAGTTTTCTGTTACTTGCATAGGTCAAAAATTAGTTGATTTTAAAAAGATTACACTAAAAATAGATCATTTTTATATTAAGTGATAGTTCAAATGGTAGAACAAACATTAGGATTTGTGGTTCAACATACGGTTTCAGGTTTGAATATATGAACATAATTTGATGGAAGCAAAATTAGTTTATTTTTAATTATGATTATAAATTTTCATTAATTTCATCATAAATTGGTTGGTAAATAGAGTGAAGTATTCCCCCCGTTTTGTCACACTCTTGATGGAGACTATTGGAGGAAAACTCAATTTCAAGTAATAAAGAAGCAAACATTTTGATATTTTATAATTTCATTTATTAATGGTAATTAATCATTCTTATCCAATATTTTTTTTAGGTATACGAGGTATCTAGACCCATATTACAAGTTCAATGAACCAAGGTAATTACACAAATGTAATAGATATTTCTCCTACGACTCGAACACAAAACTCTCTTAGATATAAATAACCGCAATGACCAAAGGGTTTACCATCGGCCACAAAAAGAAAGGTATTTATCCAATATTTTTTAGACTTAAATATTGCAATAATAATGATATGGCAATAACAATTAAATTTAATAACAACATATTCAGGTAAAAATCAAGGAATAAAAGTGGAAGTAATGATATTGGTGTAGAAATTGAATTGAAATACGATAAAGTTGTAAAATAATTTCAATAATTTTGTGATGTTACTTTTGAAAAGTTGAAATCCAAATTTCCCATTTGTTGATAAACAAATGTGTTTAATGCATAATTTAAAAATGAGAATCAACTTTATGCCCATCTAAGGTCTTATCTCAATTATTGCATTCACAAAAAAAAAAAAAAAAAAAAAAAAGACAATACTATATTTATAACTCAATCTCACAGATTTTCTTTTATAACCTTGATATAACAGTTTACAATTGGTCAGCTCACGATGAATTTTATCTGTCGTATAAAATGTCATGTCGACCTTATTGCGAACTGTTATGTTAAGATTGTAAAAGAAAGTTTGTAAGATTGAGTTGTTAGCCAATCTTTATTTAAAAAAAGAAGACCTTAAGTTTAGAAATACTAATATACTATATGGTATACATATATATAAAGACATTAATTAATATACTATATAGTAGAAATACTAATATACTATATAGTATGGAGCCAACAAGTATAAATATATAAAAAGACATTAATTAATTAATTAATTAATAATCCCAAACTGTATGGAATATCAAATAAATCTTAGTTTGTGACTTGTGGCATATGCATCTTTTGATTCTCCATCCACTTGCTCTGAATTCTGTCTTTTTTGTTGGGTCCATTATTTTTTTGTCATTCATTGCTACTTCTTAAATGTCATTCATTCATTGCTACTTCTTAAATGTCAGGAACCATTATTTTTTTGTTTTAATTTATACCATAAAGTTTGACTCAATTATGTATAGTTAGATCTTAACTAATAATAAAATAAAAAAACATAAAATTTGTATAAATTAATCTCTCCAATAATAAATAAAAGTATTCTTGGTATGAAATCTTGAAGAGCAATTTGAGCCCTACATAGTGGCCCATATATAGATAGAATTACAAAGTGCTAAACTTTCTGAAAAGAGCTATGAACTTGGACCAAATCCTGATCAATATTTCATACCTACACAAATTATGAAGAGAGCCTAGCTGTCCTGTCCTACCAACATGCTATGATTTATTTATTTTTCTATTTTTGGATTGTTCCTTGATGTAGATTTGCCTTTAGTTTAATTCCACGAGACCTGACAGTTTGGACTGTTAAAGTGGCCTTAATCCAAATCAAAAGCCCAAAGATGGGGCATGTCAATGTTATTCCATTGAATGAATGAATCAACAAAACCACTACTTCTAATACAACAGGAATCTGACTACCAAAAGAAAATTTCACAACATTTTAACACAAGTAGCAGAGAGAGCTACATACAAGTAGTCTATGTAAACCTGGAAGAAAACGATCATCGATTTCTTAACCGCTCTTTGAGTATCTTCAGTCCAACATATCTGTCAAATGAATTACCAGTGAGTTAGTTTATTTCCTCTATACAATGTATGCTATCAACTGAGTTTATACATAATGTAGATCAAGCAAGCAGATTACCTTCCAAGCATCATCAAGGCAGCTTGAGGGTTGGTTCCTGGTGATATGTCAAACGTCGATCCATCAACAACTCGGAGAGCATCTATACCAAGCACACGGAGTTCACCATCGACTACTTTCCCCACAACACAGCCTCCATGGTAATGCCAAATAGTGCTAACAGTGCGGTGACAGAATTCAGCCATTTGGGCATGGTCAGATTGATCAACAGGCAATGCAGGCCCAACAAACCTGAAGTTCCTGGCACCAAACCGTTCACGGAACTTGAAAATATCCATGGATCGGCTTCTTAGAACATCACCAATCTTGCGTGTGCCATTTATACACCTTTCGATATCCACTGGATTGCTGAAGTAATTAAACCGAACAATTGGATTCACCCTGACATCTGTTGAAGCCAGCCTTAATGTACCACTTGAAGCTGGCCCAATAATCTTCTCCATGAGGGTAGCCACAGTGAGATAAAGAGGCGAAGACGGTGTCCTGATGAAAATAGACTGAGCTGGGGATGCAAAAGGGATAACATTGGAAGCTGCTTCAAGATAAGCCCCTAATTCAGTAATGCCAACAACCTGAATCAATGAGTGATCCAGTGGGATTGGAGGCACAATTGAGATGCCATTCCTCGGATTATCATATAGATACTGCCCCACATGTGGATTATGAAATGCTACCGGAATTCCCCAAGATGATAGATAAGGCCTTGGACCAATGCCACTCAACAGCAACAACTGTGGACTCCCAATAGCACCAGCACATACCATCACCTCACCATTTTCCCTCAACATTGCGTGATGATACTGCCCTATTGCATCACGATAAACCACACCAATTGCCGTCCGCTTAGCTCCAGAATCAGCTGAAGAAGATGCCAACAAAATCCTCTCCACACTTGCATAGACAGCCACTCTAATATTCAAACTTTTTGCATAACTAAGAAGATCAGCGGCACTATGCCTCCTCCCGGAACTATCAAAAGTTGAACCACCAATCTTAGTCCCCACAACATGATTCAAGTTAAACCCGTTATAAGGATCAACACCAGCCTCCAATAACCCATCTCTAACAGCAGATTGCCAATTTCTCAAATCAGGCCTAAACACAACCGCCTTCTCTACCCACTCATAAGACTCATTCACAACTCTAAGGTCCCAATCCATACCTGATTTCTGATAGAAATCTTTATCCGCCCGGCTATAAAACCCAGCATTGATTGCACTACTGCCACCAAGAACACGGCCTCGAGCATTCGGAACTCCATCCTCAGAGGTGAAGGCTTGAGCAGGAGAATTGTAAGTATCAACCTCCATAAGGGTGGTCAAGAACCCTTCTTGAGTCATCAAATTGTGCTTGCCATAGGGCACACCACCACGTTCTAAAACAAGTACTTTAAAAGATTCTGAAATTGTTGCCGCTAATGGACTCCCCGCAGTGCCTCCTCCTACAATAATGTAGTCATAAGAGTCCTCTGATGGAAAGGCCGTGGCATTGTACACAAACTTTAAGTAACTTGGTTCTGCAACCAAAGAAAATTTTTGTTTGGTAACGAATAATATCGAATGAAAGCCAATAAACAAGACAATGAAAGTTTTAATCTTTTATTGATTTTTTTTTAATTTTCTACAAGTTATAAACACAACCCAATTCAGTAGAGCCAATAAGGGTTCTGTTCTTTTATCAAACTAACAAAGAAACAACAGGAAAATCTGTTTGTTTCCCCAGAAAATGAATGATTTTCTCATCATTTGTCGCGTTTTCCCGGGAGTCAAACAGAAAATAAAGTAAAACGAGAAAAGAAAAGCAATAAGTGGAGTAAAGCTAACCTTGCGGTTGTTGTTGTTGAAAGTGTCGTCTTGCACAAGAAACAGTTGAACAAAAGAGCACCAAGAACGCATTGTGAAGAAGAAAAAACCAAGAGGGTCTGGCCATTTTTTATCAGAAGAGTAAGAAAAAACGATGGTTGGTGATTAATCTTGAAAGAATGAAGAAAAATTAATGGCTTGGGGGAACAAGGGAGGAGAATCAGAAGAGTAGAGCAAAGGGTGGTGTCTTCTGATTATGAATTCAGTTAACGATCGTAATATAGTTGTTTTTCGAGCGGGATTCTCTGCGGCAGACCTCACCAGTGATCTTTGAAACTGAAGGAGGGAAGGAGGGGATTTTTGTAAACTTTATAAAGTTCAATTTATAGAATGACTAAATTACCCCACTATTTTTGTAAACTTCGTAAAGTTCACCTATGATAAATTCGACATTTGTTTGATAAATTAAAATAAAGCAAAGTTTTTGAACCTAAAAATGTTGTTAGTGATATAAATTGTTATGAAAATTATACCACATCAAGTAGTTTTAGTGTTTAGTACGTATACTATATGGTATTTGTATCGATATTATAGAAGGACTAAATTACCCCTCTGAGAAATTAAAGTAATAGTGTTATTAAGGGGAGTTGAAAGTTGTAACCGTACCTGATGGAATTAATAAATGTAAAAATTACATACATCTCAACTAATTATTCGAAACCTTAGAATTATCGGTCGGATAAGAACTCTAGTGATTACCTCTATTAACAATCGAAGAGCAACTCAAACTCAAGACTTCTTGAATAATATACATAAAAGTCTCCATCGAATCGCTTAAGTACCCAAAGATAGTTCAAATGCATTGTATTAAGCTCAATTTTGCTTTGCTATCATTATATTTCACTTTAGTATTTTCAATTAATTTCTTCTATATTTATGTTGTAAAAAAATTGCATAATGTTACAATTATTTATGGAGTAGTCTTTTTCTAAGCTCCAATAATATTTAAAATATAATTTATTCCAAAATTAACTTTGTTTAATAGTTTTCTTTCTAAATCTCTTAGTTAACCCCACTATCTATTTTTTAGGTTTAATTTCCATTCCCATATTTCTATTTTGGGTTTAATATAAAGATGATACTGTACATGTATAATAATATTTTGCCCCTTTATGAGAGAGATGAAGACGGTAAGAGAGAGAGGAGAGAGGCTTTCGATTTGGCCATATTCCGGTGTCGGGTTCTTGCCTAGTGACTAGAGGAAAAAGAGGGAGAAGAAAGGGAAGAAAGGGAAGAAAGAGAAGGGAGATAATAAGAGAAAGATAAGAGAAAGAGAAGGGGGAGAAGAAGAAGAAGGATAAGAGATTTGAGCGGGTTTTTTTAATATTTTATTAATGCAATATCTTTTTTAACTTTTTTTATTTTTTTATGCACAAACCCTAAAACAGAAAAAGTCAAAATTACCCCCCAAAAAATGATAGAATGTTGATAATACCATTTTAGTTAATAGATTTACTAACATATTTGGACGAAAAGTTGGTATTTATCATTTCAAAACTTTTTGGATACCAATTTGTTTTTAAAGCAAACTCTGAGTAGGTGTAAGTCGTTTCCCCAATAATTTTTTTGAAAAACTTTTATTGGGGCTTGGAAAGTGATTGGATGTGACTTAAAATAACATCACTCTTGATCATTTTATAATGCCTAAATTAGGTCCAAATGATGGAATTAAGATGATGCCCATTTTTTAAAAAGTAAACGTCTTTTTCTCACCCAAGGTTTTCCTTAATGACTTTCCTACCCAAAAATTTTAAAATTCCACTTTCCCATCCAAAGTTAATATTCCATTATTACCCAAAACCAATTCTGGCGATGAGAACTCTCTTTGTCACCATCATTTGAACCTATGGTCTTCTCTCTACAAAACTCCACTCACTTCGGCATTTGATTTCTCACCGATTGCCTACTAAGGGTGGACGGGTTCGAGTACCCGCCCAAAATCAAAGGAACTAGAATCGGAACCAGTTGGTTCCTTTAATTTGGAATCAGAACCGAAACCGTTGGTTCCGATTCCTAAAAACTTGGAACTAGAACCTATGTTACAGGTTCTGGTTTTGGTTCCAGGTACCCTAAAAAATTATCAATTTCCCCCAATTTTCTAAAAAAATGACAAGTTAACCCTTATAAAATTACAATTACACCCCTAACAATTAAGTGCAAAACATTAAATAATATATTTGTTTATATTTACTTGATGTTTGATGCTTGATTATAAGTATTTAATTGTTTGTTTTCACCAATAATAAATATTTAAAAGCTATTATTTAACGTAAATGTCTTAATGTATATTAATTTCTTAACCAAGTAATAAGTTAAACTTAAATATTAATAAGAATATTTTGAAAAACGGATCTTTTAATGAAAATTAATAAGATTTTTTATACTAAGATAAAAAAAAAAAAAAAAAACCAAAATTTTCTTATATATTTATATGATATGTAAACTATTAAGAAAACCCATATTCTTTATTTAGTTTCAGTTCTTGGTTTTGGTTCCAGTTCCTTTGATTTGGAACTGGAACCGGAACCGTATAATATCTTTTCCAATTTTTTGGAACCAGAACCTATCCTATTATGGCCAGTTCAGTGTAGAATTGGAACCGACACCTAGGTACCCGTTGGTTCCGGTTCTACCCTAAAATTTTGCCCACCCCTATTGTCTGCCATTGCAAAGCTAGGGTATTCTGTTCTTAGCTGATTTCCGATGGCGAATATTTAATTGGTCACAACCATTCGATCCACTAGCCTCCACTCTACAAAACCCCTCTTACCTTGGCTCCTGGTAACTTGCCGAACGCTGACTGATAAAGTCAAGTGTATTTTGTGTATTAACGGAATATAAAACTTTGAGTGAGAAAGTGGTAGTTTGAAACCTTTTGGGTGGAAAGTTTCATTAAGGAAAACCTTGGGTGGGAAAAAGTCAGTTACTCTTTTTTAAAATAATTATGGTCTCCACTTTTTATTTTTTGTGATTTGATAAATTGGGTATATTTCATTTATATGTATAGACTATAATTATTGAAAATATTAATTACATTATAAAGAGGTTTTTAATATTTTTAAGATGTTTTAGATAATTTATAGAAATATATAATACTTTTCAATAATAGTGGATAAATTTTATATTAAATCATCTCACAAAGATAAATGAAACAAACAATTGAATTTAAACTTAAATAAATTTTCTATGAGAGATAATATTGATCGGAGGCTACTTTTATTATTATTTTTTGTAGAGGTATTATAATTTTGATTTTTCTTTTAAGAAATGTATTATGTAGTTTTTCTATCGGCACAAAATTGAAATATGACGTGGCATTCTTTAGTTAGCGTCAACTTTGAGGCTATTTATTTATTTATTTTAATTTTCATTCATATATAAATATATATCCCCCTTTCTTCTCCAACTTTCTTATTGGTGCTAATTCCAGATAATCAACCAATCTCCAGGTAACTCTCTATCCTTAACTTTTTCACTTCATCCGAAATGGGTTTCCTTCAGTTTTCTGTTTGGTTGACTGGAAAAAAAGAAAACAGGATAGCACTTTTACTGTCTAAAAACCATCAAGTGATAAAAGAAACCATACAACTCATACAAAACTTAGTGTTGACTCTTTTCCCTTGAAATTTTAAGCTTGTTTCAATCATTGATTTCATTTTTAGTTTCAAAATTTGAACTTTTAGGAGACTTTGTTAAGATTTAAGGAAGATTGCATTGATTGGTGTGTGCAAATTTCCTACAAAGCGTGAGAAGTCTGTATTTTTGTGGTAATTTTGGTCTTGGATGTTGAGATCTCTCTGGGAGTATTGTTTACATAGAAAAAAAGAAATATAACTTTCCTGGCTTCTTCCGTTGGCTGATTAGTGTGGCAATAAGCCTAGAGCATAAATTTTCTTTAACAGGGAGCAACTCAAAATTGTAGAGTTTGTGTGTTGCAGAAATAGGGATAAGTAATTGCTAAAATGCTCCCATACATAAAGTTGGTAAAGATGATAATTATGAAAAGAATGAGAATTAATAAAGACGGCCGAGGATGATGACTTAATATTTTTGTGAGTGTGGCAGGGAGAAATCTCTAGTTTTCTTAATGAAGATGATGACTTAATTACATATTTATATCTATAGTTGAGAAGGAAAATTATTAATCGACTGGAAATGTATAAATTTAGAAGTGTAAATATGAATTTGATTTCCCCCCAAGTGTACTCACCATCTTTGATTGCTTGTCAAATGTCAACAAACTTCTTCTGTTGTAAGAATTAGAATTCCTACCAAAAAGAGCAAAGGTGCTTATCCATGCGTCCTGATCCACATTTTCATTTGATTTCTCCCCTGATGTTCTCACCTTCTTTAATTGCGTGTCAAAATGTCTACAACCTTCCTATGATGGAAGAAATCGAACTCTCACCAATGAGAGCAAAGTTGTTTATTGATACTTCCTGATCCACATTTGGGCCTTTTGTCTCCATAATCAACTTATGTTTATCCAACCTCTTAGCTCCAAAATTTTAGTATGTGGAATCAACTTATGTCTGTCCTACCACTCAAATACAAAGTTTTATTATGCAACCTGATCTGGAACCAGTAGATTAACTTTAGTAGTTATATTAGAAAGTATTTTGATTTAATTTTTCTAATTAAGTAATTGCTATTTCCTTTTGTGAGTAGAACTAGGGGATAATGGCTGGCCTATGTATATAAAAGATTTAGGTGTTTGTGAATGTTGTCTATTTCTCTTAACCCTCCCCAGTTCCTTATTTTCTTCTATTTCTTATTTTTCTAGCTTTCTTCCCTTTCTTTTCATTGCCATATCTCTACTTCTACCTCTCTTCTATATCCTGTCCTACTGCATATTCAATTGCTACTTCTTTTATTTTATTTTATTTTATTCTATTCTTCAGTCTATAATCAGGTTCATGAATTCTTATTTTATCACACTGATACCAATTGTGGACATGCAAAATCTTGCAGCTTGGTTGCTGTTTTCGGTAAGAATTTCCAATTCCACATGGATCTTAATGATCTTAACAAGGTCTGGGAAATTAAACCTCTCAACAAGATTGGAGAAGATGAAGCGAGGAAAATTCTTGAGAAAGTTGCCAAGCAGGTGCAACCAATAATGCGGAAACGTAAATGGAAAGTCAAGATTCTTTCTGAGTTCTGGTACGGACTTCCAGACCTGCCTCTATTTGTTATACATTTTGCATATTTATTGCTCTCATCTATAATTTCAAATTTGTAGTCCATCCAATCCATCTCTTTTGGGGCTGAACATTGGAGGAGGTGCTGAGGTTAAGCTGAGACTGCGGAGGCCAAATAGGGACTGGGATTTCTTTCCTTATGAACAGATACTTGATACTATGCTTCATGAGCTCTGCCACAATGAATATGGACCTCACAATGCTGAGTTTTATAACCTTTTGGATGAAATCAGAAAGGTGCGTCTTTCTTTTCTTCATTTAAGTAATTTAATAGATATGCTATCAAAATAGTAGCCCAGATAATAGTCTCTCAGCTGGTTCCTGTGCACTGGTATGAATTATATAGTACTTTCAGAATTAAATGGTTGTTATGAAGTTGAAATCCATTACTGTTGGTGTAGGACTTTTTCTAGCATTTAAACCTTGAAAATTGTCTGCTATGTACAAGACTGATTTCAAGTTATGGACTATTCCTACTGCTCTAGAAAGGGTTGTTATGAGATATACAGATAGGGTTGTTATGAGATATACAAATACTCTTTTGTTCATGACCCTGTTGCATTGCGGCTCTTAATAAGTTTCTTCTGTCAGACATCGTTTGTGTCCTTGTATCTGCACTGTGAAATTGCTTTTGGTATGCTAAAACCGAGTATGGAAAATGGGGAATCATCCCTTTTTATGGTATAGGCTAAATTAAGAATGTAGTTTCCAGATAACGAGTACTAGAACTCACACTTGCAATGTGTTGTCTTGTTGCTCTCATTGTAAACAGTGTTGCTTAGTCTGGAGTTGAGTATACAAATTAATGAATAACTATAGAAGAAGCTTGTAGTCATAAATTGAAAATGTTGAAAAATTCAATATATGCATACACGTGATAGTATATATGCATTGAAAAATGCCTGGTTCATTGAAAAGTCACACACCTGACTGCTAATTTCAAGAGCACCAGTTCATGGCACAATGTTGAGTGTTAGGAACTTATGATATGATTGCATCACTGTCACCCTATGTTTAATGGGGCATCTGATCACATATACATCACAAACTGATGGCATTTCATCCTGAGTGTCGCATCAACTATACGTTTGTTATTAGTTGTTATTTCAATTTGATTTTGCAGCCATTTCTTTATTTCCTATTTTCCTTCATTTTTTCTGCAGGAATGTGATGAACTGATGGCTAAAGGAATTACTGGGTCTGGGAAAGGATTTGATCTTCCCGGGAGACGATTGAGTGGGTTCTCCACCCAACCCCCATTGTCATCGCTGCGCCAGTCTGCCCTGGCTGCTGCTGAGAACAGAGCACGTCACGGAGCTCTTTTGCCATCAGGACCTAACCGTCTCGGTGGTGATAGCAATATCAAGGCTATACTCAGCCCAATACAGGCTGCTGCCATGGCTGCTGAAAGGAGACTACATGATGATTCCTGGTGTGGATCCAAAACTTTGGAGAGTGAGAACAATATTGGATCTACTACTGGAACTTCTCAAACAACAAACACAATTTCTAATGGCAGATTTAACCAAACATCATCCATCGAATCTACACCTGGTTCGGAAGCAGTAGATGTTGGACGGTTGTGGGAGTGCCTGACATGTACCTTATTAAATAAGGTAATCAATCTTTTGCGGTGTTCAAAGTTGCTCTCAAATAAACTATAAACTTAAAAAAGTTATTATCTATAAGTTCAATAGAAGATGAGGACATTATCATGATTAAATCTGTCTCCTATATATCGAGTGTATTGTCGTGATTAATGAATGTTTGCAGTAAGAGTTATCAAGTATAATAATTTATATACAAGTAGAAGGATGTTGATCCTAGTTCTCAAAAGTTGCTTTCTCATGGAATGTTATGGCACATTTGAATATGTAGACAACATTTCTAAGTCATAAAATTAACATCGTCGAATAAAAACAGAAATCAACATTTGAGATGTTTAAGGATTGACATTTGCTGGTAAGGCTTCCCATATTTCTTTCTTTATGATTGCAATCAAATCTTATGCAATTATATTTTATTGCAATAATATGTTTAATCCTTAAATCATTTCTGTAAATCATTTCAATTTTCCCACCTCGCTGTGTGTATTGTGCATGGGCGCATTTTGCTCTCCAATCTTTACATGTTCTAATGCTTACAAGTTCCTGCTGCAGCCATTGGCACTGATATGTGAAGCATGTGGAAGCCAGAGACAAAAAAGAGACCCCAAATTGAAGGTATGGTCATGCAAATTTTGCACTCTTGAGAACAGTAGTGAATCGGAGAGATGCTTAGCTTGTGGAGAGTGGAGATATTCATACGGCCCTTCTGTCTCAACTCATGCACCTTTTCTTGGTACCTGATTTTTATCAGAGAATAGACAGTATATATTGAGTTTTATGGTAATTCTCTATGTGAACGTCGACTTTCAAAAATGAGTAGGAAGCAGACGGTCATTTTTTAAAGTTCTACAGCGTGAACTCTTAAACGTACTCAACATATTCTACACGTTTAAACATTACGTTATTACATATCATTTCTTCTTTGTTCTAATTATGTTAAATATTAGAGTTTACAGTTTAAATATTGTGACTTACATAGTAAATATCAATGTTCTTACTATAATTTAAAAAGTAAAATTTACTGTACAGTAACATATACTATAATAATATATCATATATATGTTACTGGTGAAACTCTCGGATGACTGCACTCGAACCCCCATCCACCGAGACATTTTTTGCGGCGGCGCTGGCTACGGTTAATTAAGCAGAGCTTCCTTGGGGTTTACAAACTTTTCATATTTACTCGAGGGACCTTAAACACTTAAATCAACCTAACAAAATCCTTAAGTTCACTACGGGAACGTTATGTTTTAATGCTAAAATTGGATTATATTATAAATTCTTAAGTAGAAATTTCTCTCTATTGATAAATACTACTTCACCGTGTTCTTCTACTACACAAGTATAACGTTCACTATATCTCTTATTTTTATTATATAATAAACTTTTTTTCTTTAAGATTTATAAAAAAATCCTACATATATATGTCATATGACAGTAAAAAAGATATATATTAAGTGAATATTTTTAATATAACATTACGTTATTTATGCTATTTAAAAAACAAACCAAAAAAAAAAAAAAAAACATTTGTATTAAGAATATCCACATATAAAAAAAAAAATTAAAAAATAACCAATTAACTGTAAACTAAGGTTTTTCTTATTAAGTCTTTGTACCGACGTAAACAAATTGATAAAAAGGTGATAGAATAAGGTGATAGTATAGGATATTTGGAGTTTTACGTAATATTTCATATTCTCAAAATCCAATCCTACTTTATTCAACTCAAAACATTACAATTACATTTCTTGTAAAAATAATGCAATTAAATTCAACTTTACTTTTTCTAAAATACTATTCTAAAAAGCATTAGAATAGTGAACCAAACGGAATATAAACAAACTTTCTATCTTCATTAATTGCCGTTTTAACTTATAAGGTATATGAATTCCAAAATTACATCTTGAGATTGGAATTATTTTCATGAACAAAATCATTATTTTATTGATTTTCAATCAATTTGTAGATGGCGGGGTAATTAGTATACATTGTTATTAGTAACAAACAAACAAACAAATAAACACATATATATTTCAAAAGAGAGTGGACCGTTGCAAATTTTTTGGGGTAAAATACTAAAATGTTGCCACGACAACAAGTACGAAGAATTTAAAATCCCCCCATACTTTTGACAAAATTACAAACTCTTCCTTTGTTCTTGTAATCATCACTAAACTCCCTAAACCCTACTAAATTACAAACCACGCCCAATACAATAAATGAAAGAATAAAGAAAGGCAAACAAACGCATCTCACAAACGCACCTGAGTTAATAGCCCTCACTAGAATTGTCGCAGAATGATTTCGACTAGAACTAAAAAAGTCTGTTCCAACTCCAAGGAACAGTCATTTCTCATGGAATGACCATTCCACCTAGAGGAACTACCATTCTATAATGGAATGGTCATCCTTCTTATGGGATGACCATTCATTCCTCATGGAATAACCGTTCCTTATACGATGAATGGTTGTTCATCCCTAAGGAATTCCGTTCCGTATACGATGAACAACTGTTCATTCCTAAAAAATAGACGTTCATGTCTAGTCAGAATTAAGAAAGTTTGTGAGATTTGTTTGTCAACATAGTATTACATTCTTAGATTACGATTTAACTTTGATTTTTTTTAAAAAAGAAAAATTAATCATTCTGAAATGTCCTTGCACCTCAGAATGACGGTTTTAACCCTAAGGTCTTTTTTTTTTAAACCAAAAAAATAAAAAATAAAATAAAATAAATTGTTCAAAGAGAAATATTTATAATGAATATAGTATTATATATACTATGTAAGTTATATATCATTTGAGACAATTTTTTTTTTTTAAGTTATTTAAATATACAAAATTACTCTCTTTACTTAATTTTAACTTAAATTAAAAATGTTGAATGTGGAGGCTTTGTTGCTTTTTTATTTATCTCTAAATTTGGCAAAGTTGAAGTGACCTCCACAGGAATTTTTTACTTTATTAAAATTTAACTTTAAAAATAAAAAAGAAAAAGAAAAATTAATCATTCTGAAATGTCCTTGCACCTAAAATTACGGTTTTAACCCTAAGGGTTTTTTTTTTTTCTTCATAAAAAGAAAAATTAATTGATAAAGAGAAATATTCATGATGAATACAGTATTATACTATGTAAGAGATATATCATTTGAGATATTTATCTAAACAATTTCTTAACATTTTTATGTTACTAGAAACATATAAACAATTTCTTAACAAACAATTCTATTGCAAACTTAAAGAAAATAAAAAATAAAAAAATTAACGTTAAATCTGTAATTAAAAAGTATTAGAAAATGTGGAATAAATAATTAAAGGTAAGTTAAAAGAGGAACTTCTTTAGTACAATGATAGGGGCGCATAGACCCACTCTTTTTAGTATTAACACGAACATTTATCATAATATTAGTAGACTATTACAATATTTTTCTGCCTCGATAGAATTGTATCATTAGATCTAACAATATCATGGATTATTTATTCGTTAAAACAATTAATCCATCATTAGATCTAACAATATCATGGATTATTTATTCGTTAAAACAATTAATCCATCATTAGATCTAACAATATCTTTCGTATAACTATAACAGAGGTGAAGACTTTAATTATCTCTGGTTTCATTTCTTTGACAAAATAATATAAGAAAACATGGTTATGTTCACTTTAACATTTTTCTTAATTTCATTTAATCAAAAATCATGGATTAGCTTTCACATACGTTTTTTATTTTAACTATTTTTTTACGAAAAGTTCTAGTTAGGTTGAGTTACATTAAGAGTCGTGATTTATTTCGGTTTCGCATAATCTTATTTTGCCACTTCATTGTATTACACTTAAATATTAATTTGAAGGCGAAAATGCATTTTAGAATGACTAATTTCGTTCTTTTTTATATTAAAAAAAATATTGTAGGGTTAAAATCGTAATTTGACGCCGCAAGGGTATCTGAAGATTCCAACAAAATCAGTTAAATTTTGAGCATAATAAATTCACAAATTGCTGGGAGGTCATTAACACCTTTGCCAACCTTTGGGGTTTTCTTGAAGCCTCGGAGTCCCGCTCTCTCATGGCGAATTTCGATTACCCTCCTTTCAACCAAATTCATCCTCCTCCCCAAGAAATCGACTTCTTGGAACTTGAACGGCAACTGCTAATAGGCCACGGATACGGCTACGAGTTTCACCATGTAATACACACACCCACCGCACAGCCTTATATTCTTGCAGTGAAATATGGCTTCAGAGAAAGGCTGGAGGACTTCATGCTCCAAAACGAGATTCGCTTCCTCTGCCTGATGGACCACCGTAATCTCGTCAATTGCCACGGTATCTCTTTTACTGAGTACGAAATTCAATTACTCTTTGAATTTTATACCGATAATCTTCATGGTATAAGAATCAATAAAGAACATATTCTTTCTATTATTGCTAAACAGATATTAGGTGGGTTAAGGTGGCTGCACAGTTATGGCTTTGCTCATAGAAACATTAGTCCATACAATTTTGTTATAGATTTGAGAGGTAACTTGAAACTTAAAGGATTTGGATTAAGTACGGAGTTGATGTGGGTTTTGCCAAAGTATTCTAGAATGAATGTGGGTTGGAGTCTGTATAAGAGTCATTGGTATTTGTCGAATCATTTGTATAGTGATGATGTTTTGGGAGAAGATATATGGGGTTTCGGAATTAGTATGATGGAGATTTATTTGGGAGGGCCGCCATATGATTATGATAGAGTTTCAGAGTTCAAGAATAATGCTTCTTGGGCGTTTCAAGATTTCGTCGACTGTTGTTTAGAGTATCTGCCATGGAAGAGGTCGAGCGAAGAGTGTTGATCAAATGATATTATGCTGGAAGGTCTGAAGTTGGTCAAATTGAAGTACTGGAGCTGCATGTTTCGGCGGCAAATGTGTCTTGTTGTTATGTTGCTGTTAGTTTCTACTGTAATGCAACAGCATTTCTTTGTTTTTATAATGTTTATCTTAGGTGAATTCAGTAGAAATTGCTGTTGATTAGGTGCAGGTAATGTGATGGGGTTGTAGTTGTTAGTAAAGTATGGCTGTTTAATTTGATTTTAAGTCCGCTGCAGAGTAGGTGTAACTGCAGTGCAAACCTTGTTATATTCAGTTTTTTGTTCAATGAAATAGCATTCCGTTTGTAACTTTCTTTGAGTGTGTGTGCCATCTTAACAGCAGTTTTTTCCTTAGAATTCTCCAGCTCCAAAACTTCATTTGGTATCAGAGCCTCTGTGAGTTTTCAGACTAAAACCTCAACTCTTCAAACACAGCTCAACTCCTTAAGATCTCCTCCATGGCAACAAATCAGCACCTCTTTCTCCACCTATCTTCAATGGTGAGCAGTACCATGTTTGGTGTCAAAATGAAGACCTATTTGAGAGGCCATTCCTTATGGCAATATGTGGAGGAAGAGAGACAAATCCCTCAACTTGGAGCAAACCCAACACTGAATCAGATTAGGATTCATGAAGAGGAGGTTGCAAAGACTCCAAGAGCACTCTCCCTGCATCCATTCTGCAGTAACTGACCAGGTCTTCTCCAGGTAATGGCTTGTGAACTCCTAAAGAAGCTTGGGACAAGCTCAAGGAGGAGAGTTTGGGGGAAGTACCCAAACCAGAAACATGCAGATCCTAAACTTGAGGAGAGAGTTTGAAGTGCTCAAATGCAAGAAACTGAAAATGTCAAGGAGTATGTGGATAGATTGATGAGTTGTAAACAAGATTAGCTACTTGGTGAGGAGTTGACTGATCAGCGGATTGTGGAGAAGGTTTTGATTAGTTTACCCGAAAGATTTGAAGCAAAAATTCCTCACTTGAAGACTCAAAAGACCTGTCCCAAATCAGCCTAGCTGAACTTGTGCATTCCCTTCAAGCACAAGAACAGAGGAGGCTGCGAGGCAAGAAGATTTGAGTGAAGGAGCTATGTTTGTAAGTCAAAAAAAGAAGGGATTTCAAGGGGAAAGCAGGAGGTACGCTGAGAGAAGAAGGGAAAGAAAAGCAGAGTAATCAAGGAGGAGAAGTGGGTGCGCAAGAACTTTTGCTCCTTGTCCTCACTGCAGAAAAAGAACCACTCTGAAATAGATGTTGGTTCGGCCTAGCATTCAATGCAGGTCTTGTAAGCAATTGGGCACATTGAAAGAGTGTGTAAGAACAAAGGGAATCAGCAGGAACAGCAGCTCAAGCTGTGGAAAGTTCCCAGCACTCCCAGCAGACAGAAGAGAGTTCAGAGCAGCTGTTGTGGTCTCTGAATGCATGGTTGCAAGCAGCCCTGACGTCTGGTTGATTGACAGCGGCTGCACCAACCATATGACCCCAAATGCCAGCAATTTCGTGAGCTAGATGAGGGTTACCAATCCAAGGTGAAGGTGGGAATGGTGAGCTGTTAGAGGTGAAAGGCAAAGTGATGTTTCTGTCCAAACCAAAACAGGTACTAAAACTCATAGCTGATGTTTTGTTTGTGCCTAAAATTAGTTTGAGCCTACTAGTGTAGGACAAATGTTAGAAAAAAATTATTCTCTGCATTTCAAGGACCTCACTTGTGTTATTTTGAGGAGTGATGGGACTGAATTGATGAAGGTTAGAATGCAAGGAAAAGGTTTTCCTATAGATGGGAAAGGTTACTTTTCAAAACTACTCAGCTAGGATAGATGATTCAGAGTTGTGGCATGGAGATTTGGACACTTTATATTCATGCCCAAGGAACTTAAACACAAAAACCTTGTAACCTACCCGAAATAGACCAAGGTGAAGGATTGTGCAAAACCTGCCAAATTGGCAAACTCAGCAGGCCCCCCATTCCCTACAAATAAAGCTTGAGAGCAAGTGAAAAGCTCCAGCTTTTGCACACTGATGTGTGTGGTAAGCAGCAAACTTCTCTAAGTGGGAGGGTACTTCATCCTCTATAGATGATTACTCTAGGGACATGGGTGCATTTCTTGAATCAAAAAAGTGAGGTAGCTGCTGTGTTTAAAAGGTTCAAATTGCAGGTAGAAAACCAAACGGTTTGACACTTAAGTCATGAGAAGTGACAATGGTGGTGAGTACACTTCCAATGAGTTTGAAGAAGCATGCAAAGGGGCTGGAATTTGGCATCAGTTCAGCGTCCATACACTCACAACAAAATGGGAGTGAGTGAGAGAAAGAATAGGACAGTGATGGAAATGGCTAGGTGCATGATGATTGAGAAAAATTGCCAAAAATTTCTGGGAAGAAGTGTCAACACTGGGATCTATCTACTAACGGTACCACCAAAGCACTTGACAACAAGACTCCTTTGAAGCTGGTATGGTGTCAAGCCAAAGGTGGATCATTTGAAAGTATTTGGAAGTGGTGTGTTATGTGTTTGTTCCAGCAAACAAAAGGACTAAGTTGGATGAGAAGGCTGAAGTAGGCATCATGATTGGACTCAGCACCAGTCTAAAGCCTACGAATTACAATCCATGCTCCAAAGGATTGTGATAGTAGGGATGTCAAGGGATGAAGGAGCTACTTGGAATTGGGAAAAGAGGCAAGTTGAGAGAAGGATCAGCAGCCAACATGACACAGATCCAGAAATTCAGAATGCAGAATTGAATCCTGAAGAGTGGATGAAATGCCAGTCTGGGGCACCAGGTCTTGCATGACATATTGAGAGGTGTAATGTGGCTGAATGGAGCCTAACTGCTATGCTGAAGCGCAAAATCTAAAGCCTGGGGGGCTGCAATGCAGGAGGGATGAAATGGTGACTTAGGAAAAATCAAACTTGGGAGCTGGTTGATAGGCACTTGACAGAAAAGTAATACAAGTTAAAGGATATTTAAAAGGAAACTGAATCCTGATGGATCAGTGAAACAAACTCAAGGCAAGACTGTTGTTAAAGGCTGTTGCACAGCAATTTGGAGTTGATTTCAGAAACTTTGCACCTGGGCAAGACAGGACACCATTCGAACTTTCTCATGGCAGGGCAGCACAATTCGTTGGGAAAACTTCCAACTGATGTAAAGTCTGCATTTTTCAAGGATTGCTTGATGAGGAAATCTACATTGAGCAACGGAGGGGTATGAAGTCAAGGGAAAGGAGGAGAAGGTCTATTGCTCAAAAAGGGCTTGTATGGTCTCAAACAGGCCCATAGAGCTGGTATAGCAGATAATGACTATTTGGCAAGCTAGGATATGCTAGAAGTCCAATGAGCACCACCCTTTATGTAAGGGACAAAGAGGAGAATGATGATAGTCTCTCTTTCATGTGAGACTACTGGTGACTGGAAGCAATCTTGTTCAGTTGGAAGAGTTCAAAAGGCAATGAGATGGAATTTGACATGACTGATTTGGGTGAAATGAGGCACTTTTTGGCATGGAATATTACCAAAGTTTAAAGGGTATCTTGTGTGTCAAAAGAAGTATGCAAATGAGGTGCGAATTAAGTTCAATATGGAACAATTGTAAAGAGTGATATCCCTCTGATTCCTAGCCAGAAGCTGAGCAAGGAAGATGGTGCCAAAGGGTGGATGAAGGTGTCTATAGAAGCCTTGATAGGATGCTGTGCGTACTTGACAGCAACCAGGCTGATTTGTTACACCACCAGCCTCATGTTAGCATGAGCAAGCCAGTGAGATGCATTATAAGGCTGCAAAGAGGGTGCTACGGTACTAAGGGACTACTGAGTTAGGAATCTGGGTCAGAAGGGCAGAAAAATTCAGTTAATAGGCTATTCAGACAGTGAATGGGCAGTTGCTCAGTGATGATATGAGAGCACTTTGGATATGTTTTCTTGTTAACCTTGGTGTCTTCAGTTGGCTCTCAAAAAAACAGGAGACAGTAGCCCAATCTACTGCTGAGGCAGAATACATTTTGCTGCAGTGCTACAAACCAGGCAATCTGGTGAGAAAAATTCTGACAGACTTGAGGCTGCATCAAGAGAGTCTACCACCATTTATGTGATAATAGCAACGGTTGCAATTGCTAAGAATCCTATTCTCCATGGTCGAACTACACATATCAAAATTAAATACCATGTGTGAGAGAGGCAGAGCAAAGCAAAGAAATCAGCTTGGTCATGTGCTTGGGAGAGAACCAAGTTGACTGATATTAGACAAGGGAATGAATAAGTCCAAGTTTGAAGAATTAAGACTCAAACTTGGAGTTCCAGCTGAATACAAGGAGGAGTGTTGATCAAATGATATTATGCTGGAAGGTCATGAAGTGGTCAATATTTGAAGTACTGGAGCTGCATAGTTTCGGCGGCAAAAATCTGGGTTCTGTTGTGTTAGTTCTATGTAATGCACAGCATTTCTTTGTTTTTATAATGTTTCTTAGGTGAATTCAGCTAGAAATATGCTGGTATTAGGTGCCAGAGTAATGTGGATGTGTTTGTAGTTGTTAGTAAAGTATGGTGTTTAAATTTTGATTTTAAGTCTGCTGCAGAGTAGGTGTAACTGCAGTGCAAACCATGTTTCTATTCAGTTTTTTGTTCAATGAAATAGCATTCCCGTTTGTAACTTTTCTTTGAGTGTGTGTGCCATCTTAACAGCAGTTTTTTCCTTAGAATTCTCCAGCTCCAAAACCTTCAAGAAGAATTGTTGCGTCATCCATTTATAACTGGAGGAGGAAATAATTTTTTACTTTGATTGAGTCTTCCATCGATCTTTATGATCAAAGAATCAATCTTGTTTTTGTTTTTCTAATTTCAAGTAGATGGAGATAATTTTTGACTAAACTGATCCGGTTCTTATTTCTTTCATCTTCTGGTCAGTGTATGTTCAATATCATTTGCTATACAATAGTATTTTCTTCTGCTTAATTTGGTACATTTTGATTTGCCACTCTTTTACCATACCGTCTT